GTTTTCAGAAAAAAATATCTGAAACATTTTAATCCCTTTAAAAACACAAAACTCTGTGCCAAACCCATCAACCGTTAAACATGCGCTAGCTGTAATAATTTATAAAGGAACCTTGTTTAGAGACAAAATATACTAAAAGAAATATTGATATTCATTACTTAATTTAACGTATATCAAAGCACCTATTACTTGACGTCAAATCAAATATACCACTGGAGGCAATTTACAAAAATTTGGGGGTGAGATCCTGAATTTGCAAACCAAAATTCATAATCATTTATATCTTTCATAATCAAATATGTCTCTTAGAATTAGAAATATTTTCTGCAAAATGCGTTGTTTTTTTATTATTTTTTTAGTTTTATAGACATTCAGACGATGCATTGGTGCAGTCGTGTGGAAAATTTTTTTCGAAGATGAGCTCGAACAATGCATATCCAGAATATATATATGCGACACAAATTATGTTTGTTATTTAAAAAAAAAATTAAGATGGCGCCTTAGAATTTGAAGATGACTTCATAATAATTTATGACTCATGCTTCCTTTTTTCTATATTCCCAATACTCAATAACTTCCATAATTGTATCTAAAAATTTCAAGGGAAATATGAAATAATTTTTTTAGAAATCATGAAATAAAATAAAAGGTTTAGACAGAATTCATCTTCGGACAGACGAACGTTATCGAAATTCCTCTGTACGACAACTGAAAATTTAATTTTTGAATCAAAAATGCAATCAATCTCATAAAAATACTAACTTTTATCAAAAAATATATTGCTGAAGTTATTATTCCCAGAGCAGATAGTAACAATTTTTAACAACTTATAAAACTTTGAATCCTTAAGACAAACCTACAGGAAAACAATGGATAGAACTCTCAAAGTAATTTCTAAGATGATATTTATTCGTTCATTCCATCACACATTTATTATGTCTTTTTATTTTTAATTTAGTTTCGGTTTATGCTTCATGTAGTTCTATTGCAAACTTGACTGCAAGACAATTTGTATGCTAATTATATTCAACCCGCGACCGCAGAAGATTTGGCGCCTAATCTCATCCAGCCGTTTACTATAAAATTAAATTATAAATATAACCTGAGTATAACTTAGATAAAAAACTGTTATTGTGTTTCAAAATATCGTTACACAGTATTATACTAAAACCACGCGAACGAAGTATATAATCTTGATGCTACAGAATCAAGGGTATTGGTACGTTTGGAACGACATGAGAGGACGATTGAAGACGAAATTCGGCAGTTACAAACAAATAAACCGGGAATTGTATTTTTTTTGTTCAAGTAAACAAAAAGGCCATTTGCCTAATATTTCATAACTCTTTTTCGACCTTCAAGTCTCGAAGGAGCAGAAAAATGCTTTACGCGGTTCAAACTGATACCACGTTCATAAGTAAACGTTTTATTCAAACCTTTCTTTTATTCTGATAATTGTCAAATATGACTGACCAATTACGTGAAACCGCATCAGAGATTTCAGTCAATATTAGAAAGTGTAAAAAATGGCATTCAAAATCAGGCATCGCAATGCTTATAATAGTAACCTCTATAGTATACTGTTTGTAATTCATGGTGTATGACTTATTATGGAATGTGAGGCCCTCGTCGAAACTGAAATGTAATTTGTGTCAACATCGATGTGGTGAATACGGTAGACGGCAATAATTTCCGGGTGGTATTTCGGCTTGAACTGTAGCATACAGCAATATTTTCGTGAAAACGTCTGTAAAAGTTGGGTATTGGGTTACCCATTCGAATATTTGCTTTCCTGTTGTAATAACAAACTGAAGTTCAGATTCCAGCTAAGTCGCTTGAATTGAACTGACATATTTAACCATTGTTGTCGCAAAGTAATTGAGCGTAAAAGGTTGGTTTTGAATGAAAGCATTGCGTGACCGAATATTCCGCATGACAAAAAATGTTACATTTTTACTTCATTATAATATTGTTTTTAATGTAAAAAGTGAACAAACCAAATATCATGAACCCGACACGCGATTAATTTACACTATTTCTAAAAAATGATATTCAAGCTTTGTATTATACTTTTATGGAAATGTATTTTCATTAGTGAAAATCGACTCTTTCAAATCAAAATATATTATATGCAACAAATATTGAGTATATAGAAAAGGTGGGTGAAAAAAATTCGTCACCGGAATTACGAACATTTTTAGGTTTTTCAACTGTTATATATAACCGATATATATCGGCCGTTTATTGCCGATATGTTATATCGGCAAACACGCAATATCGGGTCGATATATCGGTTGAGCACTAATCCTGAGTGAGTATGACGATGAAGATTCATGCGTGTAGTCAAAATACCAAAAGATACAAGTCACAACTGTAGTTTGAAATTTTACCGGTACCTAGTAGTCTACCTCAGGGTGGCCAAGGTTGCTAGGTTGAATGACCGCGAAAACTTTTGAGGAGGTCTCGCGGGCCGCAATCGGAGAAAACCCAAAAGTGATCAAAATAGCACAAGTTTACCTGCTTTCAATTTAATCATAAACGAGAGTTTACCGTTCCAATCAGACTATTATTATGTTGCATGGATGGCATTCTTTTAAAGAAGATATATAAAGTCTTCAGTTATATTTAAATAAATTCCCGAGAATTACCGTTGTATTTTCCGCATCTCGCGTTTGGGTTTGTTATGTCGCTTCAAATTATATTCGTCCGTGACAGTTGGTGTCCCTCTTTGCTTGGTGACCTGAGCACGTGCTTATATTGTTTATTGGTTAATCCGGCGCTGCGTTACACGCCTATATATTTTTATCCACAGTTTTCCTCTATTGTTTATTACAATTCTGAAAGCAAAAGAGTCTAAATAATTTGCATGACCGAGACAATATTTTAAGTCGACTAGCAAAATGATGCAAAATATTAAATTTGTAGTCACGTTTTGTAATATTTATCGTATTAGCTTCAAACACCAGAACGTTTGAAGCCAACCATGTTTATACACGCGGATTAACCACACAGATAAGTGGTCTCAACGTTTTTTTTATAGTTTGCGACCTGTTTAAATTTTCAAAGCTATTTCGAAGGCCGGTGAACCTTGAAAATCAACCCAAAATAACAAAAAACATAATTGAACGAATGTAATTACGACAAATGTATGCAATTCAAGAGAGGGCAATTCAATTTAATGAGAAATTTGCTGCTGTCTTCTTGATATCATACGGTTAAAAACGCGGTTTTGATAAAGTGTTTCTTCAAGGCGAATTCTCTGTTGGTTAAAGATGAGAATAACGATGAAAATCTCGCATAAGTAAGTTGTACATAAAAATCAGCAGTAATTTAAAGGATTTGTCACTCAGCTCACGATATAACTTTTCAAGCGATATCCAATGACTGTGACAATGACATCCAGCCGGTCGGGTGATGAAAGACCTTTTTGTTGGGTTTACGCACCAATAGGAGAGTTAATCCAACAAAACAGGCGTCAATGCCTTATATTTTGCAATTCAAATATAATATTTGAATATATTTACGCATATTTACGCACCAATAGGAGAGTTAATCCACAAAACAGGCGTCAATGGCTTGCATTTTGCAATTCAAATATAATATTGGAATATATTTTGCGGACCGACGGAAAGGTTGAAGGACAGACGTTGAAAAGCACTGACATAGATAACTTGGTTATAATCTATACGCTGTGAAAATGACGTTTTCGTGGGTATACTTCGTATGATGATGAAATTCGTGTGGCAATTGTTAAAATCGTAGCTATACAGGGCGACTTAGGATATTAGAAAAATACATTATACAGTATACATTAATATTAAATTTTATAGAAAATCTAATTAACCGGCTCAAGTTATGTATTTGTATATTCATGTATTAAATACATATAAATGTTTACATATCAATATTTATGCTTATTTAGTGATATATGCTTGACTAACTCGGCACCGTTGCGGAAATATTCGAGGTTTGTGCTCTCGAAAATACATAACTTACTTTTAAAAGTACGAGTCAATTGCATAAGCAAGATGGGTATTGAAGTATCGTCGAATCGAGACACTGAAGAAATTACCCAAATTTGTGAATTTTTTGATTAAATGCCAAGAAAAACACACTGAAATGGTAATATTACTAGAACATTTAAAAATGAAATATGATATAAATGATAAAATGTATCTTTGTCGTAGGTTAGATTTGTGGAAATTGGAATACCGTAAGCCCATTACACCAGAAGCGCGACTGGATAAAGAAGGCTATTATGCAGTGATGTGATTCGAAATTAAACTGATTCTCTTTTATATCGAACTCCCTAAAAAAAGATTCAGTTATTTTAGAAAACCATGCTGGTCTTATAGCTTCAAAAATCAAGAACGCTGACATCACAACATTGCAAGAACAGGTTTGCTAAACATGTGTGCATCGTCTGAATATAACTGAAGGTACACTAACTAGTACTGCATCCATTCTGATACTGATTTCATTCATTTATTATTCCTTCTATGCATAAACTATCTCAATTGTTTGATCAATTTGTAGACCGTAGTCATTTAAAGCCCATCCCACGCATGAAAATTGTCACGAGCGGAACAACATAGCTTCGCACAGCCCACAGCTAGCGGCCAAGGTCCGTAAGAGAGACCCTTTGCGCATCGCTGATGCCTGAATAGCCAACGCTTCATTCAACCGACCAACTTATTTGAATCATGTGACAGGAGTTCATTAGAAAACTAGAAGATAAATAATTTTGTCAAGCGGGATTCCTGGCCCGCACAAAATACATCCGAGGGTCGCTCGCATGCGACTCCAACGTCGCGTGTTTTTAAATTTAGTTCGATAGTTTTTCTTTGTGATAATCCTCATTGATAAACAAAATAATAGATATATATATACCAGCAGATTGATGGTAATATCTTTTATACCACGTTATTTTGTTCCTGATGTTAACTTTCTGATGTTAAGTAAAATTTGAAAAAATACGTGTGATATGGGCTTGAATTTGTGTTTAAAGTTAATGAAAAATATACCAAACTACATGCATGTATTTATTTTTATTATAGTTTTTGTATATACCACCGCAAATTATCATATCAATGCTGAACACTGTATATTAGATTTCTTCATTGGCGTAAAGATTTCTCATGTATGAATCTCCCGTATTAACTACCAATTTGATAAATATCAACTTCCGGATATCAATCGAAACTTGATTTTAAACTTGGAGGAATATTTACTCTATAAAATACCATGAGTCTATTAAGTTAGCCATGGGCAAAAAGTATATAACCATTGCAACTTCAACAATTTTATAGGCTGTTCTTCTCATTTTTGTATCGCCACAATTTATATATCAACAATAGCATTTTACGAGGTGTGGTACATCTTCCAGCTTAGTTCAAATCTTTCGAAAGACATCTTGAATATACCAACCCTAAAGGATGGATTTCCTGAAATAACAAGATAGTGGTTATAATGCCGTTTTTGCAGCGATGCGTAAAATTTGAAGCCCTTTCCGTTATGATAATACTGCTAGCCGTATATTTTAGGTGTATTTATATACTGTTATCATTGCCGTACCTGGGATCTATTTCGTTTGGGGACATTCCATCATTTAAAAATTGTGACGTCATAATGAATTCGTTCCACATTGCATAAAACACTAAATTGCACTTATAGGCAGAAAACCGGTGCAAGTCAATTAAGCATCATCAAAAAGATAAAGGACTTTTCACCCACACAAATTTGCCTCGAATCTTTTCTACGGGGTTGTTGGTGAGAATTTCTTTGATGAAATGATCATAGAAGAAAGCATCAACTGAGTCTTTGTCCCAACCAAGAAATCGCAGAAAATATGGAAACGAACTTTAAATCTTTTACGATCGTTTTCTGATGCACCGTCAACTGCATGTCATCGAGACATAGACTGACTGTAACGCCACCTGAGATAGGTGAACGCCATCAGTACTTGGCCAAGTATCATAAATCAACTACTTTTTATGTCATTTTTGTGAACAAAATGCACCTTTAGCAATGTTTTGTTAGAAACGATACTTTTACTGTATAATACTTATCTATTTAACCAATAAAATTACTGACCCTAAAAATGCGATTTATTTACAGTTTTGCTTCGTAAAATTCAATACAAAGTCATACTTGTTTCCAAAAATGTATTTCATTAGAAGGGAAATTTTTTTATTATATTGAGGTTGAATAATTTAAGCCTTCGCTAATATAATTCGCCTTTGAGAAAGTCAAGTATATTCTGATCGATACTGCAATGGTGTAACATTTCCCGTATATTTATTTGCATAAATGTCATCATTGCTGCTGCTTATGTTACTTTGTTCTTGAGGGTGTGATGATGCACGTCGAGGAAAAACACTACCAAGCCTCATGAGCCCCGACGACCGTAGAAAACTTCTGAATCTTTTATTGTGACTGACTTGCCTGCAAACAAAAAAAATCTATTTTGTTTATGACACATATGATATATACTTACTGCATTACTACTTACTGCATAAACATATAATTTGATCAGCATTTTATGATACTTCAAATTATGTTTGAATGTTTAGATCTACTCCGATTACTGAGTAGTCGATTTGTTACTGGCAAGAAATTTCAGCGACCGCTTGTGACAAAACAATTCATCTTGACAGTAACAGACCGCTGACACAAATTTCTCCACATGGTACAGATGAGAATAGTTACTGAATGGTGCGCTTTATCAAACATGTCTATTTATAGTATATACGTCCTCATTTTTCATTTACATGGCAGTTAAAAGCTGGCATAATCATAACGCTCATCAATATAACAATAGAAAATATGATCAAGGGAGTTTTATTTGTACTCGAGTTTACGAGTGAGTCCTGCCTGTCCTGATAACGTAACCCTTTGAAAAGGGCTGTTATTCCTTATTCTGACCCAGGAATTATCAGGTTTTTTGTCATTACGTTATGTGGTTAATTACTGAATACGTTGTACAGGCCGTACAAAATTGCGTACATTGTGGCCGGCGCCAGATTAACTATTAAACAATATATGCACGTTCTTAGGGCACCAAGCAAAGAGGGGCACGACAGAAATTTTAGAGCAGAATTTTATATAGTTTATCAGTGTTTAATAAAATATTACGAGTTCACCAGACGACTCAAACTTCAAAATGTTTGCTTATTTTTCGTCTTCAAGTATAATCATATTAACCTTCTTCATTAAAAATAAACACTGAAACTTAATTATTGGACACGAATTGGGCCTATGAGTCGTTTTCTTAAGTCGTGTTTTTTCTTCCCAGTATTCTCATGCTGCATTTTTTGTTTCCAAAAATTGCTTTTCGCTTCAACAATTGAACCAATGAACTGTTTACACTATGTGGCGGTTCCACGATCGCATTTCAACGATCTAGTGGTCAGCGAAGTCGGGAGTTTTATGATGAGGTAGACGAGGATGGTCCAAACCCTGTCATGCTGATACATTCCGTGCGGCTCATAGAAAATTTTAGCGTATATTTGTATCTAATGGAGGAACGTGTTTGAGATTCTTTTAGCAATTTTTTAGCCAACTGGGGTTGGGATCATGAGATTCAAACCATTTTTCTATCGCTTTAGGCCTTTATTTTAGTATAAACACTCCTCTGTTTTCAAGCGTCGGCCATGTGACAGTACAGTGACGAAACGCAGAGCCGACTTAACACCGCGCAATCCAGTTTTTTTTTTAGCTAGGTCCCGAAATACAAACTTAGACGGACTTGGTTGGTATTTGACGATGGCGGTAAGCATGCTCACGCTGCAAGTTTTCAATTTACCCAATATAACAATTTGTAATAAAATGAGTGTCACAAGAAAGGTGACATAAGGAAAACACGACGGAAACGTATTTCTACGCCCATCACACAGTTTCTGGTTTGATTTCACGAAAGAATATATTTTGAAGCGACATTAAACGCGAGATGCGCAAAATAAATACAACAGTAATTCTCGGGAATTACCTTTGAGATGAATGAAGGCTTTAAATATCTTCTTCTTTTGGGTTTTCTCCGACTTGTGGCCCGCGAGACCTCGTCAAAAGTTTTAGCGGTCCTTCAACCTAGCAACTTTGAACCACCATGAGGTGGACTACCATATAGGAACCGGTAAAATTTTCAAACTACAGTTGTGACTTGTATCTATTGGTATTTCGATTCACGTTGAGACTGGAGGCATGAATCTTCATTGTCACGCTCCCTCAGGATTAGAGCTCAACCGATATATCGGCCCGATATTGCGTGTTTGCCGATATATCATATTGGCAGTAAACGGCCGATATATATATATATCGGCTATATGTAACAGTTAAAAAACCTAAAAATTTTCGTAAAAGTTGATTTATTTTCTTTTTGGTTGTGATTATTTTTAATGGATAATACACTTATGTGGTTTATTGTTTTCCTAATTAAATTACACATAAGGGGGCACTAAAGTCTTCAGTGCTTAGAGCACCAGAGGGGCTTAATCCGCCCCTGATTGTGGCGGTTCCGCGTTCGCGTTGCTGTCTGTTGGTCAGATGGAGTCGTAAAGATTGCGGTACCTGTGGTCTACTGTGACAGATTGCATACTCGTACCAAATCGTTTAGCCTTCCCATCCATGCTATTTTAACGCCTACACTTATGCATATGACAAAGATTGCTCATCCTCGTTTTCAATGAAAAGCGGCTTGATTGATTTAAAGCTAAAAACAAGGAATATCATCTGCTGGTCGCGAATGAATATGACGATGGGTGCAATGAATATCAATGAGCAATCCAGTATATTCGTTTCGAGGTGAAAGCTAGCTTATTAGTAACCTTTTAACATGACTAAAATTTTTCCAACGTTCACGTGTGAGTTTAGGCTTATTTCTCCATATTGAGCATTTGCAAAAAAATACCGTGATTCCCCGAAAATAAGATCGTGTTTTATTTCAATTTATTTTCGAAAAATAACACTAGGGATTATTTTGGGGAGATGTCTTATATTATCATTTATAAAAAACAAAATTACAAAGTGAAGAATTACGAGATTTTTGGATATGCAAAATATGAAAACCGATATCCATTTACTCATAAATAACAAGATTTCCGCTCTCACACGTTTTAATCATTTAAAACATGTAAAGAGATTTCTTGATATCGAATAGGTTATAAAAAATTCTTTTTATTGACTAGGTCTTATTTTAAGGTTAGGGCTTATATTAAAATCATTTTCAAAATTTGGGCTAGGTCTTATCCTCAGAATAGGTCTTATTTTCGGGGAAACCCGGTAGTAAACATGACAAACATTTCATTTGGTCCGTCGACTTTCTCCCAAATTTGGTTCTGCAATGTTGTTATTTTGCAATTTACCTTAGATTTACCAGCGATAAAACAACACAGACGTCAACCCGCACGTATACAGTAATTACATAGTTGTAATTCTTAAAATTAACTTTATATTTATAATTATATACAACATATAGCCGAAAGCGTATTTTGTTATGTAAAGTTGTTGTGAAGTTCGTGATGTTTTCTCGTAGTATTGTTATTCGTTCGATTAAAAATAATGCTCGTTTATGCGACATTCAAGCAATATTTCATTTTCCAGAAAGCCAGTTTTTGTCAGCACATTGCTAAGTTTTGAATTACAGACGCGATTCTACTGATGATGGCGCAACTTCCAACTTGAAAAAAATTGCGAGGCATGAAGATTGAATTAGAATAGTTAATGTATTTGAGGCGAATTTTTTAAAGACCTTAACTCTTGGAAACTATTTCACAAAAAATATAAACTCTTACTTTATTCTTTGTCGAAAATCTCTTCCAACGAAATTATAAAAATACGGATTCAGAGCTGAGTTGATAAATGCAAGTATAGATATCGCTGTTGAAAGGCTCTGACATAAATTCTTCTAAAATAAATAGTTTGTTTTGAAATTTGCAGGAATATACAATTTGTGTTACTGCGTCTTTAAGACCAATAACCACATCAAATTTTATGCCCGTAGCCTAAAAGTGTAGAAAATAATTTAGGTAAGTGCCGGCAAGTGAGAATGAAAAAACACAAAAATCTCGCAAAATATATTATATAATTATTAATTTCTATTCGATTAGATTACATGTAATAATAGCATAAAGTGTCTTACCCCACCAGTCCGGATTCCCGCAATCTTTGCAATGTGTACAGAATGAAACGGAAGCCAGCAGACTATAAACAGTAACACGAGGAGAGCACAAACTATGGTGACTCTCATCTTATCTTTCATTTGAGATTGGTTAGATGTTGCGGAATTTCGTCGATCACCTACTGTTCGGTGAATTACTCGCAATATGATAAGTGCATAACAGAAAGTAATGATCTGAAAAACAAAATTGAATGAGTGTTCCATGCTTATCTGACGAAATTAAGAATTATCGTATATTTGATTCAACAACTCAGAGCTTGTCGAATTTTAAATTTAGTATCGACACAACACGCGTACGGGGTACTCCCGTAATGCGTGTACCAGGTTAGGTCATACTTTTATTCAGATTCTCCTTATTTTAGTTTTATTACGAGTTCGGGGACTGTCTGTGTAACATATAAATAAGGTATTTGATTATATTTTATCGATATATATATACTCTAAGATTTGAATGGACTCTTGTGGAACCCATGGTTGTACTGTACTGGTAGACCCCCGATCGGAAACCACTGTGTTGAAGTGTTTTTTATTTATTTGTATCCAATTGTCGTTTATAGCGATCGGCGTATTACAAGCGATACTTACAATAAGAGGTAAAAGAAACATGACTGAGAAATTGAAATATATAAATATGCTCCATCCTGGTCGTTCTCCTCCATACACACATTCTGCTTCAATCGTATTAGAGGCGGACGGTGTTGAACTAAAATGTTAATTGTAACATTAATATTAGCTTGTATACTCATTTAAAATAAGATACATTATTTGAATGTGCAACCGTTCATGTCTCATTGGCGTTTTTGTGCATCTCTATTCAACTGCAGCAAATGTATGCACTACAAATCGGCATTGAGACACCTATACTACAAAAAAAGCAAAACTTCTGACAAAGACTTTTCTATCTATAAAGTATTATGCCACTAAGAGTTTACATAGTTTTTCAAGACACTGTTCAAATATGTTTGGCTTCAGGCAATACTAGAATGTTTGTATACATTTCCAATATTATACGGAACTGTTCAACTTGAAAAATACGTACTGCTCGGTTCGCGATGCATTATTCTGTTCTTCTTCTGAAAGTATGTAATCAAGACCAAACAGATCTTGGATATAATTGCCACTCCCGGAAAATATATCATAATCTGTTTCATTTTCCGGCACCATATCCGTCCGTGCGGTTACGGGAACGGAGCAAGATGTTTGATGATATTTCGGAAAGACTTCATTGACACAATTATCAGTATCGTTCTCAGCAAATTGGTTTTTCCTACACCATATTAATGGATCCTTTGGAAATTCAAATCTACAAACAATAACACATGATAAAGACTATTGTAATGTAAAATTGAAAACATAGCTCGACTTCGTGCCAAATTAAAAATAAGAATTATCTTCTATTTTATCTCGTTTTATTTAGAATTTTCATATTCCTCTCAGGGAAAACGATAGTCGATAAGATGGCATAATCATGTCACGAACCACGTCCTCTTATCCTGTTACCAATCCAAGTTGGCTATGGACATGCTTAAAAAGTAATTAGTATCGGATTCATGGACCTAAACGCGGTGCACATTGGTGTTGAATTTTGTCACCATCTGGAACAGACTTCTTCAAACGATGCCAATTTTTTATCATACATTATAAAAACTTACGTGCAGCGACAATGTGGCTGGAGTCCAAAATTAGCACTGTACAGCATAACGGGTATGCAGATTAACAAGGAAATTATCCACGCCGCCATAGCAATAACAATGTACCAAGTATTCCGGGATCGAAAACGAGTTATTCCAACCGTCATCGGGTGACAAAGTGCGAGATATCTATCAATTGCCATTATCTGAAATGGCGAGGTTTGTCAGTTAGCTTTAAAAATATACGATGATATATATATTAGAGCGAAACTTTATTTTCTTGGGACTATTCGAAAGCGATATTACTCTTTACTAATAAATGTTTGTTTTTCCTCAAATTTTATTCTTTTCAAATTTTTTTCAAATTTCTTTTTCTTAGGGATATACGATCTCTAGTTTTGCCACATAAATGATATTTAAACTTATCAAATATATTATATAATTTTTTGGTTTGAAAAAATTTGAAAAACTTTTGTGCTCAGAACTTATTGTTATGCAACCAGCCTCCGTCAAGAATTACAAATACTCATTTTCGTTAGCTCATTGTCGTATTAAGTGACGACGATTTAAACAATTCTTTAGCGACTAGCTTACCATAAGGAACAGTATAGAAGCGTAGTAGTTGAGGAACATGATTGTCTGCATCATTTTACAAAGCCACTCGGGGTAGATCCAAGCATTGTATACTGTCTCCGTTATTTTGAACGGAATGATTTGAAGAAATAATAAGTCTGCTAATGCAAGTTGAAGGACGTACCTATAGAAAAGAATATAAATTTTATTCAATGATATAAAATTCTTACAGAATGGATGAAAGAGTTGTTTTTCCTGCAAGCTACTTGGAATATAGAAGGCAAAGTCCCTTCAATATTTGTAAATTTTTTAAAACATTTTTAATGAAACAATCCTTAACAATCAAAACAGCATGTCAATCATGTATCATCTCTTCTAATTGATAGACAATGCACACGCAAGAAATAAACTTGAATAGGGGCTACTTTGGAAAACTGATTGATGTAGTATAGTGTATGATAATCTTGTTACGTAGATGAAATTTGGGGTTAAAATTAATTGTTTTCAGTAACACGACGAAAACATATGTACTTTCTAACATGACGTAAGTAGAAAATCGAATGTAATAAAATGATACCGAAAAACTGACATTTCGACACTATTATTATTTTGAGTGATATCCGCCAGATTGTAGTTCATAGTGGGGTTATAAGGAATCATGCAATAATTCAGTTTCCTCCAGTATCGTATCATAACGTCATTTCGGACATGAAGCAATAAATAAGTAATGCAACAACGCTGTATGAGTCTATTTTATCAGCAGACATCGAATTTTGTTGTCAACATTTTATCGAGATAATAGAACGAATGACGTAGAAGTAATAAACAATTCTAAACGACCAACTTTTGTTTGTGATAAATTGCCTTCATTATCGTTTTATAAAAAGCTTTTTTATTGATAACAACTTTTGATTCGATAAAAAAGGATACAGAGCAACGGCAGGGGAATGAGAAAAGAATGCGAGATTGATAGAACACGTGATGATCACCGGGTCATCTTGTTCAATTGCTATTAATAGTACGTACTATTTGCGTCAACAGATTGCGTAGGATTTGGGATAAGATTGATAAATAAATTACACTTACAAATAGCTATAAATCATTCAAAAATTAAGTAAGTTGGACTGTACACCGGAGGTGTGTGACGCCAATAACCTTTACAGTGAGATATTTATGTAGAAATATTACTTTTAAAATTTGATGCATGTACACAGAAAAGGATCTAAAAAGCAAACTGTTTTTATCTTACATTCATTAATGTTCTATCGTTATTGTCAAATATATGTGAATTAAAATATGATACAACCCCACAAGATCTGGCTAGGTGTAGCATATTTACGCTTCACACCATAAATATATTATTTTCTCAAGAAAACCACGGCACTCCCTGTTTAGGATTCAAATCTTAGACATGCTGATATATTTTACCGGAAAAAAACGCAATGAAGGGGTTTATACTTCCCCCTTTCACAATGTATTTGCATCTTTCGGACCTACCTAGCCAGGAAGTAGGATATTATTTGTTTGGAATAATACTTACAATTATCGTCATGTGTCATAATTAAAAAATCCTAACCAAAAATCCTAAATTGTTTTCAAAATTAAATCATCAGAAGGTAGAACGGATGTACATATATATACTTTATATTTCGATACACGCGGTTTGATATTAAATTTAATGTCTTTATTTATCAGGTAAACCAAATTCTTATTTTTTGGAAAAACAAAACAACAACCATTCATTTTGAGTTGGAATTGAATTGTTATTTATATTGGGCCGCGTGCCCGATATGAAATTATTTTCAATAAGCGCGATTCACTAAGATGAAGAGTTAGCGGAACAAATGGCAAAAAAATCACTGTTATTCTAGCGATTGAAAATTTTGAGCACATGGACTTTATAAACAACAGCAATGTTACATTTTATGAATAATACATGACTGAATATAAAGCCAAAAATTATATGTTTTATAATGACAAGTTTTCGTGTTATTCTAAATTTTTGCGGAGGGATATTTTACAATGCAGTTTGTAGTTATATATATCCGATTTATCTTTATGTATAAAAATATCTCACCAATGTGTAGCTTTCTTGTATTGACGAAAGTACAATATCACAAATATAACAAGTAGATTTCCAACCACTCCAATGACGTATATGAGAACTTTGAAGAAAATAACAAATTTCTGTATTCCATCTAATTGAACTGCTTCATGTTCTATTGTCACTTCAGTATCAGGTGATGATGTGGTGTTTGCATCGAGTAATTCCTCCATAACAAACATATATCAAGTACTAGTATGATTATATTTCTTGTAATTAAAATACAAATAATCTTGTAATGAAATAGATTAAAAACTAAACAATGTACTTGTACGCTCAGAAATTCGATGTAAAAGTAACAAAGTATTAATTCGTTTATTACTTCTGATCAAAAGGACCGTAATATAAAAATCACAAACACAAATAAAATAATGAAATATCAAATCATATAGACCATAATCCAATCCAAATCGCATTAAAAATCAATAAACTTTAGTCAGATATAGTCAAATCTCATTTTAAGTCTCTAATAAAGTCACGTAAAGTCTAGTAACTTGAAAAAATAGCAAAGGTAACTGATTTGAAGGTTATGCTTAAACCTATTTCCTCCTAAAACTGACCCCGTGCATTGAGTTAGATAAGGTCTAACGTCTATCCACTACGTAAATTACGAGTCAAACGCCCCATTTAAAAAAAAAGTAGATTTGAATAAAGTTTTACAACTAAATTGTAGTTGGCATTTCCTATCTCGTATGGTAATCAAGTTATCAATATTTGGCCAACTAAGGCCAAATTTATCATTTTGAATTTATCTTATTGTTCGGATAAATTTTCCAAGAATTAAAATTCAGTCATGTCCACTTTCTTTATAGATATCTGTCAAGCAACTTTTTTCTGTCAACAATGCCCTGATGATTTATTCTGCTTTAACTTGAACTCTAATGCCAGATAATGTCTAGACATCTGGTCGTGACACCTAGCTACGTGTATTGTATTGTTGCCATATTCGATTATATGACACTGTGTTAAAATAACCTATACATATATGAACAATCGTGGACACAATGGCTATTGGTTAGTACACTGAACTCAAGTTCGAGTGTCGGTCGTTTTTATGTGAAACAACAGAGCGATGCTCAAATATATAGACACGAAGACCAAAACGAAGTAGTTTTGAAATGAATTAAAATAATAGCCTTCTATGGAAAAATACAATCTTCAACCACTGAAAATTTCAAAGCAATTGACCTAGTAGGTAATGAGAAAAGCGATTTTATTCACACGTAACAACAAGAAAAAAATAGCAACAAAAACAACAACATATTAACAAAACGATCGATAGGGGGGCCCAATAAACTCTTCTACTAAGTCTCCTGCTCAACTCAACACATTGGCAGTTTTATATTCTTACATAAATGGTGCGAATTCTTGCTCGATGTGGTGGTTGCAGGCAAAATAGCTGTGAATTAGTATGCTATAAACGTCGTCTGTTTCATAAGCTAGTTTCTACTGCAGAACGTAGTTTCGTGTCGACAGTGAATATATATGGTTATATATATTGTCCGCCTCTGAAAAACCACCCCAATGTGTTCTTTGTTACCGGCATGCCTAAATTTACATGTTTTATATTTAAATGAGTTCGACGTCTATTTTCTGAATACAATTTATAACATCCTAAACATCTGAGATTGAACTCTTCACACTTTCTTTGTCACGTCTGTTGCTACCTGAGACAAAACATAATATTGATATATTTCTCTTAATGTTATTCGGGGTACAGATTATTTAAATAAAGAGAAAAAGAACATATTCTAAACCTATTTCTTCTTCTTTGATTAAATTTACTGACGCACGTTTTGTTTCAGTGCCAATGTTTTATCGTTTTATAAAGTCCCCAAAACTAATGAGATTTGTTGGCATCACCATAAAACATGATTTACGCCTAAAGCAATATTTCACTATTTATAAGATAATTAGACGATTCGAAATATTTAGCTTAATACTACACTGAATTAACCTCACATGCTGGTGGACAAGCGTGTTTTGACTTTTTTCTCGTATCTTGTACCGACTCTTTTGAGTCATATGCAATCTAACGGATATGACCCAAGCATTTGTGTTATTTATCATTTGTTCCAGTACACGTGATGTGCATAATATAACGTTAATTTTATTTTAATTGTGACAAGTTATTATGTAATTTATTTCCATTGATTATGCTACTGTACTATACAAATGCTATACTGTACAAATGTCAACTGTCAATTGAATTATGAGTAATTCCCCATTACTCAAGATAGCTTGTTCGGTTTTAGCAAAACTATTTTATATGATATTTTTTTAATACACTCTTCATGATTTTATTTTATTATTATCATATATATATTATACTGGTTGTACATAGTATCACCACACTCTAACCATCAATTAGAACATTTTCCAAATTTTCGAAATTATTTGCGAAATAATCATCAAATTATTTGTCAGAATACCCAAATTTTATCATAACTGTCAAATTATTATCTAGATTCCCAATTTTAAAAAGTTGCTTCAAAGAGCAGGACAAATTGTTACAGCAAATTTTTTTGGACCTGTCTATAAAATTTAGCTCAAATATAATCTGAAAATAACGAATAGAAGGGCTTTCAGAAAAACACAATTTTCAGTAAAATAAACTACAATACAGAAACGACATAAATTCAAGCTAGGACTATTATGAGACGTTTTTCATATCTTTGCTCTCAACAAGGCTATGTACAATTTTCCAATAACTAAGTAAAGAGCAGCTATTTTAACGTCACACAAAACTGGATTCAATTGCAAGGTATACGTGCTACGTAGCTCAGGCAAAACAACCGTATTACACTTATGCTATTCGACTGCCTGTAAATACTACGCAATCACTCACAAATACTACAGTAAATTGCATGTGACCGTTACGCCAGTGGCAATAATTTTAATTATACAGTAATACTAACTTTAGCTAACCCGCGGCTACTAATACTCGATGTTTGCGGTTAATTGTTGGAACTCAAGCCGCTATTTTATTTGTTTATACAAACTCGGGAAATTTTATTTTACTGCCACCGGGTACGATACTATTTTATTCAAAAACACAGGAGCGAAATTGTCGATAAAAGCGAAACAGTAAATTATGCAACGTATCAGTTTCGTTGATGATACATCGTACCTGGAATCGGAGATATCGACAGACCCGCAGAGGTTAGAAGAGAATTCACTATGTGATGAGTTGCATCATCGACCTGAATAAGTTTCCAAGTTGGACACAAGTCAACCGAGTAAACGCCATCCGAGTATTCTCCGCAAAATTTAAAGTTCGAGTCCGAAGTCACAAAGAACAACCAGGATTCAATTATATTTGACTGCATTCACTTGAGTTTCAATAACAGAGAAGTACAAGTCTCTCATCCCGAGACCATTAAACAGTCAATACGAGCCGTTGCTGTTTTGAGTCGGGTCCGAATCATTGTAGAGTGCATAACAAATGTCATTGAAATGGATAATTATGAGCCACATTGTCACTTGAACGTTAATTAACTTTATAAAACTAGCATTTCATCATGCGTTGACAACATTTTCCTCGGTATGCGATCTTGCTATAACAAGCTGGCGAATTCCCTATTTTTATTCCGACGTGGTAAATACCGCATTTCTTTTTTTCGTTTTATGTTAATTATTTCCGAAAAGTTGTTGATTTGAGCCATTTCCTTTTGATAATTCCAGTCATCCTGAGACTTCGACAAAGGTGATCCATCCGTCAGTAACTCGAGTTTCCCCAACACTACGAATACTTTAGACATGACGACTTTGGAAAAGTCAGCGTCTTGGTTTAATTTGTCGAGTTGTTACATATTAAGTGAATGATAATAGTATTGCCGTGATATTTTGTCATTATAATGACTCCTGAAAACGCATTTTAATAGGCCGATCTCATTCATTTATTTCTGTCGCTGTAATTTCTGGTGTTTTTTAGTCAAAAGTGTTGTTGAAAAACAATATCTTACGAAGTCAACAACACAAGTTAAATATATATATATTCAAGAAGTTTTAAATGCTAAACTTTGGGTGAAGCATTGAAAATTATTTTCCACTTAGAATATAGGTTTTCATTGCATACATTAGTTTTACTCTTTGATGCTTTGCATTTTATTTTATTTAATATTCAAGAATGATATCTATGTAATCGTCTTTGCTACAGTATTATTAAGTTTATATATTATTTTAGATCTTAAAAGACTTAAATTCATGAAATATATATCAAATCATAATTATTATATAAATATATATAGCAAATTTATAAAATCGTTTGATTTAGACATGGACATATTATACTGAGGCAGTCAGTGAAACTTGATGTGATTTCTGGTATTGCTGTGTGCGTTAATTATTATTCAAATTATGTCAAATATGCTCGAAATTATACTCGTTCTCGTGCAATATTTCAGAAGTTTATGAATCAGCTATCTCGCTCCGCAAAGATATCGTTTCAAACAATACGCAAGAATGTTATGTTAAAAGTAGAATAGTCAATAATATTTCTCTAAGTGTTTGTCGACATGGCTTGGCAGGATTTTAGACTTCCAATATTTTACTTATTATAGAAAATGCTATTTCAAAGTAGGAAATGCTTTAGAAAAACTTATGAAGATTCTGAAACAAAATTTTGTTGGACATGAACAGCGGATGGATGTTTTCGAACTAAATGATTTTGATTGGTGCATAAAATGTAGACATATTTTCAATAGTAGACTGGTATATTTTTTAAAGCAGAATAACGTTTTCAGTGAAGAGAATCACAATTCAATATATATGTGATATTATAAACAGATGCCATCCCCCTCAAACAAAATCTAACGACGTAATAACAGCAGTGGCTGTTATTTACAATAATGGGTATTTGACTTTGTCTGTGAGATATTGTGATTGAACTCGTGAATTTTATGATGTAAATTTAATTTTGGGTTTGTCCAATGACCAGATAGCCCTTTTTTGTCTGGCTGTTATGAAAATATTCCACTTTTATATGAAATTTTGCATTCTTTTGCCGTGTTAGAGTTTGTTAATCCGGAAAAGTTCAAACAAATAATCCAGCTACTCCATAACTGCCATTAGATTCCCACAGATCCTCGTTATTGTCCATTCATTATGGAATTCCTCAAGTAAGCGTTTTAGGTTCTCAGAATTTTCTAATTTTTATAAACGTTCTGTCAAACTGCTCAAATTTCTTGAGCAAACTTTTCACTGACGATGTCTGTCTGCCCGACGATATAAATGATTTAAGCTCACTCCAAGCCAAGATGAACACTGAAATAAACAAAGTGTATGATTGGGTGATATGAAATAAATTTATTGTGATGTTGAAAAATTCAAAGTCATGTTGTTTGGTTCTAAAACTAGAATCACGCATGAAACCTTCCAATTAAATTCAGGGGTGTCACACTGGAAATTGTCCACTCTTTCAAATATCTTGGGTTTCTTATTGACGAAAAACGACGCTTATTTAGGTATTATTAGTTAGGTTATTCTAAGAAGATGTTAAAAAGTAAAAATAAGTTATTAAATCAGGGGTCTCAAACTCGCGGCCCGCAGGGCGATAATTTGCGGCCCCCGCCTTGGTATGGAAGTTTAATGATAGTGCGGCCCGTAAGTCACTCAGCTCAATTAGAATGATTGATGCATTTAATTATGATCAGTACAAGTAGAGCAAAACAAAATTTTTTATAATCTATCCCCCGAAAGGAATATGCCGCACGGTAACCTACTAGTACCGTACCTGTAGGCATGATATTCGTTGGACCTTTGACCCCAAAGAAAATTTTCTTATACTTTACCATGCAAATTCTTGGTGCTTATTTTAGAGGTGGATTCGCGAGTTGATTTCACGATTTCATGTCATCATTTTGATTCAAAACATTCAACAACCTGTTTTTCAACAGTACCGGTAGAGAAGTTTAGCCTAGTCTATCACAGCTATTTCTAGACTAATTTTTGATTACGACAATTAACCTACGACGCCCAAGCAATCAGAATGATCATTGAGTTCTTTGAATCATACTTGAATTTCTGAAACACAACTCTAAACTAACAAATAGCATGCAAAAACGAGATATTGTTTACAAACATGCCTGAAAATCTTTCTGAGTGACAAGTGTCTGAGCGTTTGCGAAAAAGTCTATTGTTACGTCACTTTTTGCGTCTTGCTGATTAACCAATGTCACGGAATAAACAAGGAAGTAGATGCAAGGTCCGTCGCGGAATTACTTACATTTATGTTTTTTACATGTTTTGCGTATAGAAAAACAGAGGAACACCATCGAGTCGTGAGAATAAAGAGCTTCCCGCCTCTTTGCCGGCTGCCGCACTGGCGGGCGGACGTGTTTTTCTGTGTTCTCTGCTTTGTGCTGTTTTAACTGTGAAGTTGCCTCATAATAAACCACAAATCCGGAATCTGAGTCTTCTGATTCAATAAACGGTAGCAACATCTACTAACCGTGACAATGGCGAGCACGCCAGGATTTGATCAACATGAAGAACCGTGATGATGGCGAGCACTGCGGCGGATTTGGCGGAATAACTGACGGCAACTTCGAAGGTTCGTACTATCAGGAAAATGAAACAAATTCCAGCATGGACGAAGAGTTTACCGGAAACATTATAAACTTGGCGACTTCGGGAACGGTGTCTCAGGCAAAACACACATTTTTGGTGGGCTGAGTGAGCTTTGGTGTAACGATGGAGGTCCCGGCATGTGTGCGGTGGTTGAAGCTGGCTGTGATTTTTTTGACCGGTTTTGGACTTGGAGATTGGTGTGTTGCCTGCAGTGATGGACTCCTGGGCCGTTGTAATCCCAATGTGTGTGGTCAACGTGAGCCAGAAACCGGTGCATGTCGAGGCGGGTACTTTAGTGGGAATAGTTTGCCCAATGGGGGAAGTTTATCAAATTGCTGAAATGCCTAACTCTGATCCTGAAGTGGGGGAAAGTTTGCCTGAGCACCTCGAGCCGTTGTTGTCCGAAATGAAGCATTTGAATGAAGATGAGAAAAACCAGTTTCGGTCATTGCTAATCAATTACCAAGACATCTTTGCCAAGCCTGTCAAGCGGAATCCATATCGAATAGGATTTGAAGAGCAATTTCGTTCATGATTATTTTTTTATTGTATCATCTTGTTTAAACCATTTGGCTATGTGAAAGATATTTTGAAAAGGGGAGGGGGTACATAATCTTTAAAAAATTTGGTTGTTTTGTATTTTTTTAATTCGATTTTAAGAATGAAACTTGTGGAGTTTCATCCTAAACAAGGGAGGGATTCTGTCACGGATTATATTATCCGTGTGTTTTAATTTAGTTTGTCTTTTTGTATTTGCTTATATGCTTTTTGAGGACCCTTGGTTTGGATATACTTCATCCGGGTCTGGTTGCTGTGGGACTCCGATTACCATCGAGTCGTGAGAAAAAAGAGCTTCCCGTTTCTTTTCCTGCTGCCGCACTGGCGGGCGGACGTGTTTTCCTGTGTTCTCTGCTTTGTGCTGTTTTAACTGTGAAGTTGCCTCATAATAAACCACAAATCCGGAATCTGAGTCTTCTGATTCAATACACACGGTAGCAACATCATAATCTGTGACAGTATCTAGGACGTTGAAAAAGTATCTAGACTTTATAACATCTAGACTCCAAATTTCACATCTAGATCTTATACAAAATTTCAGGACCAAATTATTCCATAATATCGTCAAATTGATTACATTGAGTTGTTTTTCAGCATATCGTGTTCGATCGATATACACAAATTAATAGTTATATGTAAATTATACAGCCAATAGTTCATTGTTTATGGTATAAGGTTTAAATTCGATATCCATAGTAGATTATATATTAATATATCACATATTTTAAGAATAGAAAATGGGAGAGGAAAAAAGAAAAGTTAGACATGAAATAATACAACAACAATTTTATCTGATATATCATAATTTTCATCATAACACAACAGACATACACATATTTTTTTATAACTGTATTTTTACAATCTAAATAAATTTCAGATAATGGGTATGAAAACTATAAATTTTCAAAGCATTACTGAATAACAATCCAATAATCTTCTCCTGCTCTACAGACATATGTACACTCCGGTACTTGAATTTTAGATTTTATCTACCGGAAATTGATGCCCGAGAAATATATGACCTCTTTTTTTCCTGCGGAACGACCTTTGAACCCGGCAATGAATTCTCTGTGATTTGGTACTTAGCCTATATTATGTTATGAAAACGTATTTATTGCTTATATACAAAATAGACACATCATCGTTAACATATTGAAAATTGCTACGAAAATAAACAAGAGGCATACTAGGGAAAACATCCAGTTAATACAGATCAAAGGTCAGGCTAACAAATTTATGCTTGAATTCGTTGACGTCACATTAAAACAACGCAAATTCGTGAAGAAGTTCTGGTTTGTCTGTTTATCGTGATCGCCTGATCGGTCTGTTTATCGTGATCACAATAATATGCGGAAAATCAGCAATTTGGGAATATCGAAATTCAGTAAAATATGATGAAATAGATAAAATGAAAAGCATTATGCGTTCAATTTTTAAGTATAAACTAGTAGGGATCGGATAGGATAGGATTTACATATTTATCCCGGGGGAGAGGAAAGCCGATAAGACGGCCTATCCATATGGCGAACCACGGCCTCTCGTCCGGTTACCATTCCAAGTCGGTTATGGGATTAGTTTTACTGTATTGTTTGTTTTCGGAAGCATGGACTTGGTGGTGGCGTAAGCCCGTAACCGACCAGCGGTTACGTGAACCACCCAACGACGGCCAGGAGTCCAGCAATCCTCTCGCACATAACCATCCCTGCATGGGATTCGAACCTGCAAACCCACGCAGAGTAATTAGAGGTGCGGTGGCGAGCGTATTCCTAACGGTTAGCCCGTTGAGCCCGCATATATAGTAATTTGATGATTTAAAATACGGTACCGGTACTGAAATATAATAATACTATAAATATAATACCAACATTTCACTCATACTTCTGTATTTAATTTTGATTTCTGGGTTTGCACGCCTGTATCTGTGATTGCACAACCGATTTCTCGCGGAAAAAGTCCATGAAATCCAGACTGGCTTGCTTGAGACCGAAAAACTCCGCGATTCTGACAAAACCGCAAAACCATTGTCTCACAAATTAAGTCTGTAAGTAGGCTATCCCACTAAGTTAGGCATTATTAAAGGTTCACACACAACGTTTATTCATCATTTCGACTCATGATATGGAAACAACTATTTTAAAGTATGTCTGTATGTATGAAAGCTAGCTTTTCCAAGTTTGATTAGATATTTGCATTTATCAGTTTATTGAAATTACCAGCTATAGTGCCATAAAATTTGATAAAACAAAATGAGTTCTTCATCAAATTTCTTTTCTGATATTTTTCAGTATTTAGAAATTATTTAATCAGCATTATGGATCCCGGAAAAGATCAAAATATGGATGATATGTCACAAGCTGACAAAGAGCGGTTTGCAAGAGAAAATCATTCAGAAATTGAAAGACGTAGGCGCAATAAAATGACCGCATATATCACTGAACTATCGGACATGGTACCTAGTTGTAGTGCATTGGCAAGAAAACCAGACAAACTGACTATACTTCGCATGGCAGTTTCTCATATGAAGCAGTTGAGGGTGGGAATGGCTGGTGGTGGACTGGATAGCGCATACAAACCAGCATTTTTAACCGACCAAGAATTGAAGCATCTGGTCCTTGAGTCTGCAGATGGCTTTCTCTTTGTTGCATCTTGCGAAACTGGCCAAGTAATCTATGTGTCTGATACGGTTACATCAGTTCTCAGTCAAGCTCATTCTGATTGGCTTGGCCACAGTTTGTATGATCTAATTCATCCACAGGATGTTGCCAAAGTGCAAGAGCAATTGAATCTCAACGATACACAGAATACCGGCCGTATGCTTGACTTGAAAACTGGTACTGTCAAAAAGGAGGGACAACAAAGTTCAGTACGAATGTGCAACGGATCTCGTCGTGCTTTCATTTGTCGCATGAGATGTGGCAAAGTACAAGTTAATACCAATGGTCCAAGATATCAGCGTGCCAGAAATACTCTCGGCCATACTGGCGATGGTGAAGATATGCATACAGTTACGCATGTTACTGGTTATATAAAACCTTGGCCTCCATCTGGATATACTGGAGCCGATGCACAGCCGGATGTGTTGGAAGATATGGCTGGTCAGAACTCCAACGGCAATACAGACTATTGTCTGGTTGCAATTGCAAGACTTCAGATAACAAGTCACCCCACGTTCGGAGATCTCAATCCTACAAGTGATGCAACTGAATTTGTTTCCCGACACAATTTTGACAATGTATATACGTTTGTTGATATGCGAGTGACGAGCATACTTGGATATCAACCACAAGACTTGCTCGGAAAGAGGCCTGTAGATTTCTACCATCCCGACGATGCAGAACAAGCTCAAGAAAGTTTCAAACAGGTGATGCTGTTACGTGGACAGGTATTTTCAATGGTATATAGATTCAGGGCTCAAAATGGTGAATATATTTGGATGCGCACCAGTACGTTTACTTTCCAAAATCCTTACAACAATGAAGTTGAGTATATTGTCTGTACGAATTCGCTAATGAAACAAAATCAGTCGCAACAACAAAGCGCTCCAACTTCACTACAAGAGGACCAAGTTCAGGACCAAAAAGGAATGCCAGGTGGATATGGACATGTAAGGAGTGATCAGCAATATGGAAACAAGCCTACCCAATCTCCAGATGTTCAATCACCTACAACAACTCTCAATTATCCACCACAAAATATTGCAACTGCTTCAGCACAAATTCCAAGTCAGTTTAGTCCCACGACTGTACCGATAGCTCAGCCAGGTTGGAATCCCGTAGGAGTCGGCGCAGCGGATCCCGTCAGTTCTCAGTACTCTCAAGCGCTTTTGGATCGATACCAAGCGCCAGTTGCCCCTCAGCAACAACATGGGGGGATGTATACAAATGCATCATATCAAGCATCACCCCCAATTGGTGGGTATGTTGCAGATGGTCGGCCAACAGAAGCATATCCACAGTCCGAGACCATGATGTCTATGCTGGAACAAGGACCAAATGCCTATAACCAAGAAGAATTCACAGAGTTGAATATGTTCACACCTTTCTCGCAATCATAGACCTGAATGGTGAATCCAATACATTCTATGTAAAAATTGTATAAATATTAATCACCTAGTCATGATGATGTGGTAATTTTCACAATCAACTGGTAACTTGGATATATGAAAACTAACAAAGCACTTACTAATTGATAGTTATTGGGCTTTCTAGCATTGTATTTTATATTTTTATTTTTTTTTATTCTTTTAAAATTTGTTTATCCCCTTAATCATGTCCATCTCTTTATCATAGATTGAAGTGAACTATTTTAATATACTTACATCGAATTCTGTTCAGAAAAGGAAAAGGTTAAACTCTCATACTAATGCAGTGTAGCTTCTGTAAATGAAATGTATTACCAAGCATAGGTAAATCCAAGCAGCTTGAACAAAATCCAAGATATTCAAATTGTTTTAACCCAGATTTTAGCAAACGAAATCATCTTGCCTTGAAAATATTAAGCCTGACACCCAGGTTCGCACCAAGCTGGAGAGTGTATCAATGCCATTAATGATGAAAACATGTCCTTACTTAGTGTTTTTTATCATATTTCTGAATAGCTATATCTTGGAATAATGTATTATATAAGTGTATTTTTCATATGTCAGGTTCTGATGTCATCATTATTAAATTACCAATACTGGTGTGTATTAACATAAGTCATGGATTGAATTTATCTAAAAAAAATTGTTTGTGCAGAATTTTAAATTGATTATTAAATATTTGTGATACCAAGAACGAGAGGTGTGATCTTTGTAGATACTTCAAGAATGACCCAATAATTGTTCTCCCATTTAAAGTTTTAATGCGTGAGATAAATAGTTATGATATTTCATTTTGCTGGTTTTTTGACCATTTTACCAAAATGATTTTATTTGCCAAACTGCTTGTTTTTTATTTTGCTATGTATATATTAATTGTATTTTTAGGAATTCTAATTTTTTAGAAATTACATACTATGTGCATGTTAAGTTTCAGATTTGAACTGAAATGTCAGTAAAAGGGTTAATCAGAAATTACAAGGCTTTTTCATTCTGGTGTATAATATAAAAATCGGTATTCAGTACTCCTTTCGAGTTGTATGTTCATGGAAACTCATAGTTAACTTTTTTAAAGTAAAAAATAGTTGAAAATTTGAAGTTATGGTTACATCTTTGTATAATAGCAGATCAGTGATTGAAATTTCCAAGTCATGTAGTTTTATGTCTATCTGTAAACTGTCTGTTACTTTTTGCATAGAGATTTATCTTAGTAGTCCGCATGTATTCTTGGTAAGTGTGCAGCAATAATCTAAATAATATTGAAAATGACACTTTTCTGTATTTTGAATGAAGTTTATAACATTTTCAAGTTTTTACTGAATACGGTTTTGTTTTGGTTACAAAATATGTTACCCTTTAATCATGGGCATATTTTAAATTGAATTCTCGCCTAGCGCCCGATGGCCAAGATTTATGTTACACTTTGTTTGAGTTAGCATTGACTAGAATCATTCATTTTGAAAATTTTAATGGAAAAGAAACAAAAATGTGATGTCATATTGATTAATTTGAAAATAAGTTGATAAAAGACCAGTTAATTAAATTAAGTCTGGCATATTTGTTTCCTTATTATTAATATTGAACATTAAAATGCTTGCTTTCCCAGAACTTTGTAAATATTTTCCCTGACTGGGCCTAATTACGGCCTATAATTATTATTATGGCAGCACGTTAAATTTACATTTAATATGGTTCACTTCATCAAAGTATGAGCTTGCAATTTCATTTGTTGAAACCTACAGGCATAATTTTATAATGAAGCACTAATATTTTTTGTGTATAAATACATTGATTTTAATATGAGTTTCAGTTTCAATTCTATTACTACTACCAGGCAAGATTATTCAAGCTATTTGTTTCTTTCCTATTATTTACCTATCTTGACTTTCGTGATTGTATTTGTTTGTGCTTCATCAGTTTGCTAGCTTTATCAGTTTGACCACCTAAATGAATGAAGTCCTGTATAGCTCACTTTCACATTCCTCATTGTTGTACTTGTTTTGATAGTGCCCTCAGATGTTAGTCATAACAGTTGGTCTGGTTGGTTTTTAATAAAGGGTTAGAATCGGACTTTTTATACTTTGTGAAAAGGAACCATTACCCAGTTATAAGTACGGAATTTTGTATTCCATAAAGTTTATTATTATCCTTTGTTTTCATCAGTCTGAATTGCATTCACTGGTGGTAGGGTATGTTTAGATTGCAAACAAAATGTGTGATTGATGACCATTTATGATTAAAAAAATTTATAGATTTCAACAGTGTAAGTAATTATTGCAGATGCAGTGTGCACTTTTTTAAAACGTGTAAATGCTTTTGTTTCATTTATCATCTGTACATCTTGCTTTCCTTAGGTCTTAACTCACATAAAATGTTGCGGAGAGGAAGTACTATACTGAATAATGGATTATGGGTGGTATTGCTTTCATTAGCCTGCAGTGTTTTCAGGTGCTGTTTATCTGCTAAGGTTGACCTGTCAAAGACAATTGTATCTGGACCTGGCATAGTGGATGATGCCACTTTGCCAGTGCGGTATGTATATATTCATCCTCATGATAGTAAAGGAAAACCAATCACAAAAGACCTTGGAGATGGAGCGTTTTCATTAACTGTCACAAAAAATGGGCAAAATATCAGAGCGTGGAGACAAGTTTTAAACTTACACAATGGAACTTATATTGCACGTTTTCGTCTATATGACTTTGGTGGGGACATTGAAATGTCATTGAAGTATCAGAGTAAACATGTTGCTAAATCACCGTACAAACTTATCAATGTATATGGAGATGAGTGCTACTGTCCCATGCCTCTTAAAAAGTGGACAGAGGCACTAAAATGCCCTGCAACCTTTGATCAGGTTGAAAGAGATCTTGAAATCTTTGAAAAAATTGACCTTGACGATCTTGTGAAAAAGGGAATTCCGAAGTTTGGTGTACATCACTCCTTTTGCCATTATGTTGTTAGAAGTAACAAAATTTATAGACAATGCCATGGAAAATACACGGATTTCAAAATGTTCATGGATGCAACTCTATTATCATTGACTAAAAAGTTGAAGCTTCCGGATGTTGAGTTTTTAATAAATTTAGGAGACTGGCCTCTTGAGAGAGGTTCAAAGGAACAAGCTCATCCCATATTTTCATGGTGTGGTTCAGACAAAACATTAGACATAGTACTGCCTACTTATGATATTACGCAATCCGTATTTGAAATGCTTGGCAGAGTAAGTCTAGACATATTCTCAGTTCAAGCCAACACTGGTCCAAACTGGGAGAAAAAATCAAATAAAGGATTTTTCAGAGGTCGAGATAGTAGACAAGAACGACTTGATCTTGCCGCAATGAGTTTAGCAAATCCGGATTTGCTTGATGTTGCAATTACTAATTATTTTTTCTTCAAACAAGATGAAGAAAAATATGGCAAAAAAGTGAAACATGTATCGTTTTTTGAATTCTTTAAACACAAGTATCAGCTTAATGTTGATGGCACTGTTGCTGCGTATCGACTTCCTTATTTGCTGGTCGGAGATGGATTAGTTTTCAAGCAGGAATCTGAGTATTACGAGCATTTCTATAAAGACTTGAAACCTTGGGTTCATTTTGTGCCTCTAAAAAGAGACTTATCGGATGTCATTGAAAAAATTAAATGGGCTCGTGAACATGATGATGAAGCTCGGAAAATACAACAAGCAGCTACAAAACTAGCAAGAGAAATTTTAACTCCCGATAGAATCTTATGTTACTACGTTGTTGCTTTCAATGAGTACGCAAAACGACAGACGAGACCAGTTAAAGTTTTGAAGAAGATGGAAATGGTGAAACAGCCTGACAAAAAATGTTCATGTCATAGAAAGAAAGCAAAACCTAAATCAAAAAAAGAGGAGCTATGAGATGATGCAATTAATTTATTTTAAATTCTTGTAGGAAATCTCTAACTCAATATTATAGCTTCCAATGCTTATGCATATTAATGCCAGCCCTGCCTCGTGTAGCCATGCTATTATATATGATACACAATATAATGTAAATATTAAACTAATGTTGCAATTTGTTGTGGCACTATGGACGAATGCTATAACTGTACGTAAATAGCAGTCAATTCGTCGTAGATATTGAAATGATTACCTAATATCCAAAGATAGTAATTTTGTATACAATGCATGCATATTTTGAATTTTCATATCCATTAATTTTACACTTCATACAACAACATAGCAAACAATTTCATTACATGTGTAGATCATAATCTTAGGGATTAGAGAGCCTTTTTGTCTAGCAATTTGTTTAATGCTTCCATATTGCCACTGTATGCTCAAATTATGTCTTGTTGGTATACTTTTATATATTTGATGCCTTACTACCACCGCCAGAAAAATTATGTTGCTGAGTTTTTCACTGCTGCAATTGAATGACTTTTTTTTGTATGTTGTATAATGTTCTACTATCACACAATGAAATTTCTATAGCATATACCCAGGCCATTAAAATTATTTCTGATTTATAATTATTATGCATCGTTCTTACTTTAAGATCTAATGAAATTTTGCAGCATAGGTGTGCCATATATATAACCTTTTATCAAAAAAATACACTTATACATCAATAGCAAGTTGTAATTGTTCTAGGATGCAGCGAATTGTTACAGCAAAAAAAATACTCTGATACAGAATCAATAAGCTAGCTATATCTCATCTGAATGAAAGAAAATCCCTTCATACCACACAAAAAAAAGTGATACAAATTGGTGCATTGAAAACAAGTTTTGCGGAGAAATTTATTACCACACAAACTCTCAAATGCTTCACATCATACAGTGGTTAAAGTTAAAAATCAACTGCACACATGGGTGGGTAGGCAATGTCGAACCGGACGAATTACGGTCGCCACCCAACTTTAGAAGCTTTTTACCTAGAAATGGCTACTTGTACACAGCTTCGTTTGAAGTGAAAACCACAGCATTCATAAAGAATTATATAGGATAGAATGTGAAACGATAGTTCTATTTCTGTCAATAATTTCTTATTTTTTGCCCCAGTATTTCATCACTTTTCTACACTAACTATCGAATGCTTCTTCACCATATTTAGCATACCATATACCAGTGGCGGCGCGTGGTCATTTTGACAACCGGGGCAAGCTACTGCGGGACCAAGTCACCCCCATCTACGGGGACAGGATGAGCGCTGTAAGTTCTCCCATCATTTTATGAGTATAAAAACCATTCCATCGGTAACAACCAATCGGCAAAAGCGACAATTTTTAACGATAAGAAAGTGTCTTTAAACCCGGTCCAAGTCAAGGGGATTAATAAATATAGACATAGTTTATTTTGAAACCTCTTTCAAAGGAAAGGCAATATTTACCCAGATAAATACAATGACATATTAACAAAAACTTCGGGAAAGCAGACAAAACCTAAAATAAGGTTTAAAACGTTACTATGAAGAAAGGAAAGGTAATGCAAAGATAAGGACATGCGTCGCTCACTCATAGATATATATGCTGCTAGACTTCTACTGCTTGAACATATATGCAACACGCCGCGGTTTCTTGGAAGCAAAATGCTCAATAACGCGCTAATTAAAGTCATGCATCCCAGAAATAACGTCTCTGTGAATGGATAAAACAGCCAAGGAATTTAATCTATCTTGCTTCATTGTGTTTCTGAGATACGTTTTAATACGCTTCAGCGTGCTGAATGTTCGCTCTGCGTCGGCGGAAGAAATAGGCGTCGTCAAAATGATGTCCAGAAATTTTGCAGACGCTGCAAAGTTAGTTACTAGAGTGTTATCTATGAGGAACCCATAGAGCACGCAAGTTGATGTGATGTTCAAAAAAGTTTGATTGGTGTATATACATCGCAATTCATTTTCCAATTTACCCACGTTTATCATGGGCTAAAATTTGGAGACAGTAGCCAACAAATGGATGGGAAATTGACGTGCAAATTTTGAAAAATTTTTGGGGTTCATCAAAGAGAACGCGGCAAGGTGTTCAGTGCGCAGACGATCGCCTATTTGATTCACCAGAATGTCACAGCATTCCTTTGCAGACAAAATCAAACGCTGCGTTGTTTGCCCGCGGCGTAAAAAGCACTCCATGTGTCGTCGTATTTTTTTTCCCGGATACGAGATACAGCATCGCAGAAGTCTGAAATACACGACTGCACAGACGCTCCATCCATTAGCCTTGACTGCAATTCGCCGTATGATACATCCACGTGATAGAATATTGTGGAGAAAAAAGCGAGAAAAAATGAAAACTCACCATCTTCTAGCAGACGCTTTAGACCTGCCGCCTCCCTCACAGAGCGTTCGTTCCAAACCGGAGAGCTCTGAATGCCATTGAAACTCTCAATGAGCTCAGACCTAATTTCGGACACGCCCTGCACCACGCGTGATTGGAAGTTCCAACGTGTTGGTGCACAAGCTGGGAGACGGCGGCTACATATCTGGTGAAGGAGGTCAGAGCGGTTCGGCGAAACGGAAAAAAATGAAGAAAACCCCGAAACATTTGCAAAAAATATACGGACGAGAGGGGTATCAAGACACATATTTTCAATAACGAGGTTAAATTGGTGTGCATAACAATGTAAAAAATGCGCATGAGGAAAATCTTCTTTTATATAAACTTGAACACCATGTTTCGACCCACTCATGACTGCCGCGCCGTCATAAGTTTGAGCTATCAATTTTGACTTCGCGTTGTAAGGCTGTAACACTTCTTTCAGTACAGCCGATATTCCGCAAGCTGTGCGATCAACGATTGGTACAAAGTTGTGAAATCTCTCCGTAGGTTTACCATCTTTCACAAACCGAAAAATCACAGCCAGTTGGGAAACGCACGTGATGTCAGTTGTCTCGTCAGACTGAATTGAAAGGAACTGGCAATTCTCAATTTCCAGAGCCAAATGTTGTAAATAAATTTTATACATTGAGTCGAGCAAATCATTTTGGATAACCTTAGATGTCCCTTTTGTAACAGTTGCGGCATCAAGATGATCTCTCAATACTGTATCTAGGGATGCGGTGTATTCCACCCAGTGGCGGCGCGTCAATAGGGCCAACCGGGGCAATGCCCCGGTTGTTTTTTCGGTATAATAAAAAATATTCGAAAAATACCTCAATATCGGTTGCACAGACTGTCTACACTAGCCATATTCTCCCAACATGGTTCATTTTTCGCTCGCAAAGCCTTCGCCGAACGTCGACGGGACGACGCCGATTTTGCCCCGGTTGCTCATTGTATATCGTATTCTCTCTTTTATCTTCCACTCGCCGCGTTTGTCTCGTTTGTTTTCTGTTTCTTTTATTAAATCATCGGGGCCGATCGGGGCTAGCCCCGAAATTATGACGACACAATGCCGACGTTTCTTACAACAACGTGTTTACATATTCACGCATTCCTACTCGTTCGTTGGTTGCTTGAAGAGTTGATAGTTTCCTCGCCTTCGTTTTTGTCGCTTGTTTCGCTATTTGAATCAGTTAGAGACCTTTAGTCCATTTGCTTTCAATTTTCCACATTATTTCTGAGCTCCTCACTTCTTTCCGGCTTCGCATTTCTTAGCCTTAGACCTCATAATGAATAAGGTTGATGCACTACTTCGCACTCCGTTTTCGCAGCTGCCGCTGGAACAAAAATTAGAGGTACAACGTCTTGGGCCTTATCAACCAAAAAATTGTTCACTGGAACAATCCCATGACGGAGGAAAGCGTCGGCGTACATTCTGCGCAGAAACTTGGTATAAAAAACACGAATGGTTGTGTTACAGCGAGGACAAAAATGCACTTTTTTGTTTTTATTGCCTACTTTTGCTACCGCCCGAGACTCACGTTGGTGTAAATTTGGTTTTAAAGATCCTTCCGAGCGTGCCAGGGATCATCAATCTTCTATGGAGCATCTGGACAATGCAGTAAAATACCTAACATTCGGAAATGTTAATATTGCAGTACAGTTGGATGAAGGACGCGCGGTTTCTATTCGTCGGCACAACCAAAACGTCGAGAAAAACCGCCATGTTCTTGGTCGATTCATAGATGTTTTGAAGTTCATTGGTTGTCACGAGCTGTCCCTCCGTGGGCACGATGAACGGGCTGGCTCTTCTACTAGAGGGGTATTTTTGGATATGGTGGAATACACCGCATCCCTAGATCGCGGCGCACCTACACGAAAAATACGCTGCCTCGAAATAAAACACAATTTTGTCATCGTTAATGTGTACTTTATGCCTTTTGAGTTTTATAAACATGTAGGCTTAATGAATAAAAGCAAAGATTAAGTTTTATTTCTTATCCCTGCCTGTTTTTTTCTTAATATGCTAAAAAATCACCCATGTTCGATAATCTCGGTTCAGCAAATGAATAGAGTGCAGCCTACGAAATTGCAGCTCTTCTGTTACGCAACAATAGACCCTACGTAACAGAAAGTGAACAAAATAGAATGGTAAAATGAATTTGATTCATAAACACATAATTTGCAATAATGAGAAAAAAGGAAATATGTAATGAGAAAATAAATGCAAAATCCGAAAATGAGACTGAACCTGAATTTTAAAAGTACAACAGATAGAGTACTTTGTGTAAATTTGATGTTCTCTTTGCGGCCCCTAAAATTCGTTTCGCGGCCCATTCGAGGACCGCGGCCCCTAGTTTGGGAAGCTCTGGTCTACCGGTTAGGATTCAGCTTGTGAGACACCTTGGTGCGACAGCTCTTTCTAGACTTATTTTTCATTACTACTATTAAAACTACAACTCCTAAGGAGGGAAATGATGATTGACCTATTTGATTCATACTTAAATTTCCCAAACACAACTAAAAACTAACGAATAGCATTTAAGATCGCAAAAACGAAGTATTGTTTACAACCACCACTGAAAATCTCTCAGGGTGACAAAAGTGTCTGAGCGGATGCGAAAAGGCCCATTATTACGTCCCTTTTTTGCATCTTGCTGATTGGCCAATGTTACGAAATAAACAAGGATGACATGGCTATTAACACCAGCTTTTTGGGAGCGAGATTTTGAGAGTTGATTCCAAGCCATGCAAAAACTTGAAAGGACATAGACCTACATATTTAAATAAAAATGAATCAAACTTTTATGAATAAACAGTGATAAAATAATTGCGGCAAACTAATTTAAAGTATTTGCAAAAGACATAGTAAACCATCAAATCATTATTTGAGGATTGACATTGACAATTTTCCCATCCTAAAAATACAAGGAAATTTAAACCAATGATTCCATAAGTCACTTTGTGCACTGGAGAATTCGAATAACCCTTTCGTTAGTTTTGTTTGTTCCTAAACAACAAATACATTTGTTGTGATTGGTTGAAGGGAACTGTGCTTTTCAACCGGGTATACGGTATACTCAAGTGTATACCGGACCATACGTTGGGTATACAGCTGATAAAGGGTATATATACCAAGGATGTACAGATTAAGTCAGGGATTCTTAACTCTAATATAATAAATTACAAAATATTCAAGCGGAGACAACAATGTAAACGCGGAGCACATGAAATATAAAATGCCTTTTATGCAGAATCGACGTGGGCACATTGTTACATCACAAATTATATAGAATATTATGGATAATGCGGTCACGTGTCGGGGTTGGTGATTTCAGCTGTCATGCACCTCATTTGATTTACGTTGAAATTTATTCCATTGACGCTAAGGCCGTCAGTCAAATTTATAACTTGCGGACACTAGCCTATTAGATTGCATGATAAAATTGCAGTACAATGAGTGCTTAAAATTTAATGTTTATCTAAACCTTAAATAAACATTGGTATTTGTAAGGTATACAAAGTTCTTGAAAAATTATAAAAGGTATACCACGATAAAAAAGGTTGAAGAACACTGCACTAACTAGCCTATCAAACTGCGCGTTCACTGACTACAACATGTGATACGAGCGTTTTGTGAACCTCAATAGTTTAAGATTGTCTTGGCAAGTTTAGAAACAAGTAGGTTGAATTTTTTTTAATGTAGATCGGATCTCAGCATGTTTGAAGCCAAAATTTCGTACGATCGTGATAAGCGTTAGGAATGGAGAGGGGTTGGTAGCCTAGAAGTCTCATTACGCGCAGTGCAAATGGATCCGGGCATCACGCAGAGTGAGGCCGCATTAGGAGCAGCGCGTTGGGCACAGTGAGGCCGCTTTAGGAGCAGCGCATTGGGCACAATGCGTGGTCTCATTAGGAGCAGTTCATTGGGCACAGTCAGGATTGATAATTCATCAATCCATTTTACCATTGTTTATGGAATCTATAATGGCAAGCCAGACTCGACTTTTAGATAGTAGCAACAGTGATTCGACCTAACTTAACTCAACTTTGATGAAACTCGGCTGGTATACGTTACTGTAATTTTCTCTTTGCGAGCACCGCATTAGGAGAAGCGAATTGGCACAGTGAGGCCGCGTTAGGAGCAGCGTATTACGCACAGTGAGGCCGCATTAAGAGCAGCGCATTGGACGCATGCGTAACACAATGTTTTTGACAAACAACCTCATGAAATTATGGGATGGCGATATTTAATGATATTAATTTTGGCAAAGTAATTTAGTCTCCTTATTGGACACGCGAGTAGACCTATGGATCGTTTCAATATTATGTTGTTATTCTTGTTAATTTTCGTCTTCATTATTAAAAAATCGCTTTTCTCTTCGAATACTGGACCAATTGCTTTGAAATTTTCAGTGGTTGAGGATCGATATTTTCACCAGAAAGCTATTACTTTTGTTCATTCCTAAATTTTCTATGAATCTTATTTAAGATTTAATATTTCTTCCAAAATTGCTCTGTATTACTTTCTTATTTATGGGAACACGGTATTTAATTCGCCAAGCGTGACAGCTGCTTGTGAAAATTCTTGCAACTGAAAATTTGAAGTTTTTTGAGAGGGTACGGTCGCGATAACGTCAAAGTTAAAGACTGCTTCGATCTGGTCTACGTGTTCATATATTTGAGCATAGCTCTCTTGTTTCGCTAAGAGATCGTAGAATTCATAAAGGAATGCCTACAGCCTGATAACAGTTTATTCGTAAATATATACGGTTAATTTGAACAACTTAATTAAAAAAACATCAGGCCTACATGCATTTAGCCACATACTGCTTGGAATTTAAAAAAATATTATTCAACGAATTTTCAATTTTGTAAAATGTTGTGTATTACGTCATAGCTTGTTGTTTTTAACACAGACTAGATTTGTGATTATGATGTCATAATGTTTTCTCGTAATTGCTACTTGCTTTTACCAGTCTGCGTGCTTGTTATTCATTCTTGTGTTGGAACTGTCTAGCGTTAAGCTGTGTTATACTGACGTCTTACTTTGCCGTATAATAAACTGTACTATTTCTGTCTACTGGTGATTTGGTAATACCCAAGACATCACATAAAATATTTGCGTCAGTTATTGAAATCAGAATAAGGGTCTTTTATCTTGCATTCACCAAGACAGGTATTGAAAGCATTATATTAAAATACATGCTGGAATACAAATGCACCTGAGAGAAAAACTTGCGTTGCATGGTAGGACGTGCCAAACTTTTATGCTAACCAGGGCGAGTTTCTAATAATATTGACCCTCATTCCTAACTTCAAAATAAATAAAAGAGGGATAAACAAATTATAGATGTTGTTATACACGAGTATGGATCAATCAATAATCAAGTAAGAGTGGAATATTTGTATTTTTATTATTTCAACCATCTAACTGACCAACGAACTCGCCACTAAATCGTGCTTCCCAGTGCGGCTGCCCCCTTTGTCCCCACCTAGCTACTCCGCTGGTTATATGTCACACGAAACTTTAGAAATGTTCCTTTCTCGATCCGTATTTTGAAACTGTTTTTGATGATAATTTAATCTTTCATCTGACAGAACACTCCAAGTTGTATTCAGAACAAAAAGTCGGACTTATATTTTAGTTTGTAGGGTTGACAAAATGGGGAGTGGTGGAATTGCATAAAACTCCTGGAGTTTATGCTTGAAAGCAAAGAATGAGTTGAAAAATAGAAAAATTTTTATGTTGGTGATAAATCTTGGTATGCACTTTATATTTAATTGATGCTTGATATTGTTAAAAGTAAATAGGCTTGGGCATTTTGATTCGAATAGTAAATTTATGGAATCGGTCCGGACGAAAATTTCGAATCGCCGCCATCTTTTTTTTGTTCACTAAAGATCTAAATACGGTCATTACTTATCGATCTTGATCGGTTTTTTGATCGGTAAGTCTTACAGTAATACATAAATTGCGGTAATATATAAATCAAACAATATTCGTTAAAACAAGTTCACATCAAAGTAAGTAGAGGCGACCTGGATACCCAAAAGAAACAAATAATTACCAACTTTCATGACCTTTGACTGATGCTGCCAGCTACGTTTTTTGTGCTGTTTTAGGGGACGCTCGTTGCGGAGAACAGTGCGTCAGTTTTATATTTGTTTGTTTCATCAGACGGGGCTACTTCAAAAGTGATGGTACTTGCAGACTAGGATAGGATTAGATTTACATATTTATCATGGGGAGAGGAAAGCCGATAAGACGGCTTATCCATATGGCGAACCACGGCCTCTCGTCCGGTTACCATTCCAAGTCGGGTATGGGATTAGTTTTACTGTATTGTTTGTTTTCGGAAGCATGGACTTGGTGGTGGAGGAAGCCGTAACCGACCAGCGGTTACGTGAACCACCCAACGACGGCGAGGAGTCCAGCAATCCTCTCGCACATAACCATCCCTGCATGGGATTCGAACCTGCGAACCCACGCAGAGTAATTAGAGGTGCAGTGGCGAGCGTATTCCTAACGCTTAGCCCGTTGAGCCACACCGCCTAGATGCATAGGCAATAGATTTTCTCATTGCACTGGATAACACCGAGCACGATTTGCCTGATATTTGAGAGGTAAACTTTCCAAAGGAGAGGGATTACATACCTAAGAGCTATGAAATGAAGTAATTTGCAAAGTAATAAACTGCAAAAGAATGTAACTATATGGAGGGAGACAGCAGCTATCATGAATAGGAAATTTCACCCTTGATTAGGACATGTCCTAATAAGAAAGTTACAATTGAAAATTAGGAAAAGGAATGAGCCCCCAAGCGTCTGGGACTCTGCGAAATGACCTCCTGCATGTGGAATTTGTTGACTAGATAATCAGGGTTGAAGCCTGATTAGCATTTGGATGCATTCTCAGCATGGTAGACCAGAAGATGTCAAACTCGCGCCTCTCGAACACTCACTCAACAATAATTTTTAATAATAATGACAATTCACAGAAGTTGATTTGTATAAATTGCAACAATGGTGATATGCAAGAAATTAATATGTAAATGGCATTTGAAATTAAAGGTGGACTTACAGCCTCCACATGAATTTTTGAAGAAAGTTAGGTCTCAAATTTACAATAAATTGGGATCAGGTCTTATTACACTGGCCTTGGATGCAACAGAATTAAAAAAGAAACAGTTTCGTTATTCAAATTTGAACACAATAATATTTTGCTTCATTTAGAATTCCCAACATAAGTAGGTTCAAAATATATTGCAACAACATATAAACACAATTCAAATTTCCCAACCATGCATGCTTAGCAAGGGTGCACTTTATTTGAACTTTACCACAGCTCTTTTTGTGATTGTACCATAACCATCTGAAATATATTGAGAAAAACATACGTGATAAATAAGGTGCAATGCAAATGTTTGAATATAATACCTATGCAGAACAGCGAATGCTTGAATATGTTTTTGTTCTCTGGATTTTTGATGACACGCAATGGCCCGCCCGCCTGACTACTGCTGATATCATTTCGCCAGCGCTATGTAATTTTTTCAATTCGTCTTTTAGATTAGGTACTTTCCCTTCTTCACTTAAGATCGCACGAGTAGTACCAGTTTATAAGAATGGTAAAAATAATGATCCCTCAAATTACAGACCAATTTCAATCTTACCCTCCATTGGCATCATCCTAGAAAAATTATTACATAAAAGAATGCTCAAATTTTGTACAAAATTCAACTTAATCAATAAATGTCAGTTCGGATTTCTATCCGATCATTCCACAAACCATGCTATTCTAGATTTAATTTCCTATATATATGATAAACTGGACAAAGGTGAATTTGTTTGCTGTATCTTCTTAGACCTTAAAAAAGCCTTCGACACTGTCAATCATACTATTCTCTCACACAAACTGAGACATTATGGTTTTCGAGGTGCTACAGGCAACTTATTTTGTGATTACCTGTCCGGTCGACAACAATTTGTCGAGGTGGATTCCAATAGGTCTCCCATGCTCCCTATTCACTGTGGAATTCCTCAAGGTTCTGTATTGGGACCGCTTGCTTTCCTCGTCGCAATAAATGATCTGTCGTCCTGCTCCAACTTCTTAACCAAACTTTTCGCTGACGATGCCTGTTTGCTTTACAGCTCAAAAGATTTGAATACGCTCCAAGATAAAGTGAACTCTGAAATTAATAAAATACATGATTGGATGACCTGTAACAAATTTACAGTGAATGTTGACAAATCAAAAGTGATGTTATTCAGCCCGAAAACTCGCACTAGACACGCAAATATCTCAATCAGAATTAAAGGAATTTCGCTCGAAATTGTCAACTCTTACAAATATTTAGGGCTCATTATTGACAACAAATTAAAGTGGAACACCCACACTGTTGAAATACATAGGAAACTTTCAAGATCAGTAGGTATTCTAGGAAAGCTCAGGCATTATATACATGACGCAACCCTTCGAACCGTATACTTTGCCCTTTTCCAACCATATATACAATATGCTGTAGCTGCTTGGGGGGCTGCCTCCCAAACAAATTTGCATAAATTAAAAGTTCTTCAAAATAGAGCTGTTAGAACTCTCGCTAGAGCTCCTTTTCGTTCCAACCTAAACATCCTATACCATAAGACCAGGGTGCTAAAATTGTCAGACATCTACAAATTAGAGGTCTCCAAGATTATGCACCAATACCACAACAATAATCTACCCGCAGCTTTTGACAATTATTTTCTAAGTCTTAGTAATGTACATGAGCACAATACCCGCTCCTCGACTAAGTCTAATCTTTTTGTACCACGTTTTTCCCTAGGCTTAACACAAAATTCCCTAAAATACAAAGGTGTACTAATTTGGAACAGTATTCCCCTCAGTCTACGTGACTCCACTTATGACATCTTTAAATTTAAATTTAAAAAATTCATGCTCTCTTCTTACCTGTCACCTGCCAGCACCTAGAGTTGATGTGCTGTCAGCTTTCCTCTTTGTCATTGCCAGGATTGCTTGATCTGATCCACAGCCTCTCGAATTGATTGACTTGATACTTTTAATAATCAATTTTCTGCACTGTGGAAGAAACAATCATGTTTGTTTTTATTAGATTCTTGTTATTACTTCATATATTCCACAGTGGAATAAATTTTCATGCTTATTTTTCTATGTCACACTTTTGTCGTACTTTATATATTGCCCAGTGGAATGAATATTCACTCTTTTGTTGTTGCCTACTTTATATACTGCACAGTGAAATAAATTTTCATGCTTATTCTTGTTGAATTCGTTCTGCACCTTTGATACTGCACAGTGGAATGGATATTCATGGTTATTTCTGTCTATTTCTTAATATACTTCATATATTGCACAGTGAAATGAATCTCCATGCTTACTTTTTTTGAATTCTACAAGGACTGTTTAATTATATGCAGAGAAATGAATAGTCATGTCTTATATTCATTATACTTTTTATTTTGCACATGAGTTTGTTTCTATTCTTCCTGTAATCCACAGATATCTGTGGAAGTGCAGTCACACTCGAGGTTTCATGTTTTGAATTAACCAATATCTTCTTTTGCATTTGTTACCTGCAGTCAAACATAAGTGCTCTCACTTTTGTTGAAATTATACCACAATAGCCATGTGGTACATGATCTAAAATTATAAGTTATATTTCAGATCTCTTATTGCATTGTAATTGCCTTCAGTAGCCTATTTTAATAATATCTGTGCAGTCTGTTTGTGGATTTCTGCTAGATCTAATTTATGTTTGGTTCAACGATAATCTAGTATTTACCAGAATTTTGTTTACCTTTTTAAGTTGATCTCTTTTTCTGTTCATGTATGAATTTGCCACCAGCACCCAGTCATCAGGCCACTGTAGAGTTCCATGAGTACCGGTACGGTACCGTATAGATTTAAAAACCCCTTTCGGAACCTGATTCCAATAATATTGTTTGTTATTAATGTCTTCCGAATGAGGTACTACCCAAAAAAACAATGGCCCTTACTGCAGCTGACAAGCGAGGTTTCTTAGCCCGTTTATCCATAGTTACCTCATAATGCTATGGTTTATCACTCTGATATCTAATAAAACGCGGTTGACATGGTTACCCCGCCTGTTGTGACTGGAGTCGCTTGCTTCCTTCGTTATTAACGAGACTCGGATATTCGGGTCGCCTGAATATATATTCTATTTCCGTATTCTCTTAGTATTTAATGTTCGTCTTTTTATTCCTTTATAAAATTTGATGTTAGACTTCCTTGTAGGTGACGCTGCTCGATAACCATTACTGGTTTATCGCGTCTTCCTTCACACTAAAATGCATTTTTTTCTTTTTTTACTTAATCCTATTCGTATAATGTGTATTTTTGGCATGTGTAAAAATAAACTACTGATACTGATACTGATACTGACTTTAGTTAGTAGGTGGCAATAAGTTCACTGAGACTGTTTTCCCATTTCACAGTCAGAATTAAACTTCATCGTATTCCATGTTTTGAATGTAAATTTTATTTAGGTATTATTGTATTATAAAAAAAATCGAAAAAGGCGTTGTGTAGTAAAGTCAGCAACAGCAAAACAGATGTCTTTCTGTCTGTGATTTTGCTCCACGAATTTGCTTCCCAAGTTACAATCTCTTCTAACTTAGGCTATGGAGTATGAACTGGTCTAACTTTAGGGAAAAGGCTTATTGGACACGTAGTGGACATAACGATCGTTTCAATATTATGTTGTTGTTCTTGTTCTTTGACACGTTTTTAAAAAGTCGCTTTTCTCTTCGAATACTGGACCAATTGCTTTGAAATTTTCAGTGGTTAAAGATTAATTTTTTCGCTAGAAGGCTATTACTTTTGTTTATCCTTAAATTTTATATGAATCCTATGAGATATGATATTTCATACAAAATTTCGCGGTATTTATTTTTACTCATGGGAACACTGTTTTACACTTATTTCAAGCGGTTTCGCGATCGATTGTCTTGCTCAGTACTACAGCTACTGTAGGTACCGGTACCGTAACGCAGTGAAATTGACTTATTCCTTCCGCGGTATTACTAATGCTGCAATGCAAGTTTTATAGCCTATCGTATGCGGAACGGAATATCAGACCTACAGGTTCGGTACCGGTACTGGTATCTCAGTACGTAAGTACGATACTGGTACTGGTGCCGGTACCGGTGTCTTACCACAATGAAATTACCGTAACTTATTCTTTCACGGTCCTACCAGTGCAGTAATGCAAGCGTTGTAGCACTTGTAGCCTACTATATTTGTTTATTTTGATGAGAGTCTACTGGAAACAACATAAAATTTAAAAGGGAAGAATTGTTCTGTGATCAATTATCTGTCCTAAAGTGTAAACAACATAAAATTTGCAAGGGAACAACTGTTCTGTGATCAATTACCGTATATGGCCTACAGTGTACAGGTAAGATGCTGGCTGACTGCTAACCGGTACTGGTAGCTCAGTACGTAAGTACGATACTGGTACTGGTGCCGGTACCGGTGTCTTACCACAATGAAATTACCGTAACTCATTCTTTCACGGTCCTACCAGTGCAGTAATGCAAGCGTTGTAGCACTTGTAGCCTACTATATTTGTTTATTTTGATGAGAGTCTACTGGAAACAACATAAAATTTGAAAGGGAAGAATTGTTCTGTGATCAATTATCTGTCCTAAAGTGTAAACAACATAAAATTTGCAAGGGAACAACTGTTCTGTGATCAATTACCGTATATGGCCTACAGTGTACAGGTAAGATATGGCCTACAGTGTACAGGTAAGATGCTGCCTGACTGCTAACTCAGTACCGCTTGACACGTTTTTAAAAAGTCGCTTTTCTCTTCGAATACTGGACCAATTGCTTTGAAATTTTTAGTGGTTAAAGATAAAAATTTTCTCCAGAAGGCTATTACTTTTTTTTTTGCTATGACGTCATCAAAATTATGTGACTCTACGTGTCCATATATTTGAGCATAGCTCTCTTGTATTACAATAATTTTCATAATTCCGACTAAGTCTTATTTTCAGGGAAACGCGGCAGTAAGCAGTGGTACTGTCCCGGTAGACAGACTAACACAACTTGAAAAACTGTATGACCCGCACCGGTACCGGACTTCAGTGCCGCCTGCATGGTATTGGTACCCGGACATCCTATCTAATATAGTCAGCATAGTATATATAGTAAGGTACCGTACTTTAAACCTCCAAAGAAGATATTACGACATACCCGATCCAACATTGGCACTTAACGAAGCAACAGCTGTAACTCGAGAATGAAAAGCGAAACAGCCGCGTCCCCTCAAAGTAAGGTAAAACTAGTGTCTGGCAGCAGCCGTCACGCTCCGATGGTTCGTATGAAAGTTGATAATGACCCCGATCACCGTCTGGTGAGTAACCATGGGGACGGCAGCGAACGTCTGTACAGTAACGGAAAACAGATATTGCAGTATTACCCAGGTTTGTGGTCAGAGGAATAGAATTTTCATATTTATCCCGTGAGTGAAACCCGATAAGTCGGCATAATCATATTCTATAAAATAGTTTTGTTTGTCGTAGTTAGGAATAAGAGGGAAAAAAAACTATTACGACAATCTCCGTTTTATCAAGACTATCCAATAGACCTCAATTTAGCGATATAAATACAGGGTGTCTCAAAAGTAGGTATATACATTTAATTTTGATTTGCTTTTCAGGTACTCATCATAGGGCGCTCATTTCTTCAGGAAACATAGTATGGATAAGTAGTGAAATTTCGGTATTGTTCGCATTTCTCAACAGCCTACAGACCAGAAAATGAGTTGCAAAATTGCAGTTTGACAAGAAGCATATAAACCAGTACGGCAAATTCAGCGCCACTTCAACAGAGAATTTGGAATTAATTCGGTTCTGAATGTTTTCCATTGAGCGTCCGCTCCTTGGTCCTTACGATCTTCGAACATCAACTATTGATCCAGTTTCATTAAATTTACGATGAGTTGCATAAATTGTTCGTTGTGTAGGAGCGGAATTAATTCCAAATTATCTGTTGAAGAGGCGCTAGGTGTGCCTTACTGACTTATATGCCTCTTAGCGCATGATTGCCACCAGATATATTCATGTCGATGATAAGTGAAGCACAACCGGTGTATAGCAAAACGATTTAATTTGCCGACGTTTCGAATTTCTATTCAGAAAAACTTCATCAGGGCATGATATGAAGAGTAAGTACACTACCGTATATATATGTAGAGTAGAAAAATAAAAATTAACACGACGTGAAAAAATTGAAAAAAGGGACAATATCCGAGTGAATGAACGCATGTTCCAACAAATACGCGACTATCTAAACAATGATTTATACACATGTGGGAACAATGTAGTTTCTTTATCGTTCATTGAATTTTTCTCGAATTATATCATATTAACAAAGAGAAAAAATCAATGAACGATAAAGAAACTACATTGTTCCCGCATGTGCATAAATCATCGTTTAGATCCGTGGTTATCAACCGCCGGTCCGCGGACCGGCGCCGGTCCGCAACAACCTTGCTGCCGGTCCGCCAAATATATTCCAATATTATTATATTATAAGCAAAATACAAAGTATTGATGACATGTCCATTAGTTTTGTGATTTTTTTTATTCTTTTTGGATCGTAATAGAGGTATTCGTCTATCAACTAAACTTGGTGAGAAGTCCTCCGCCCATTTCGAGCCGTGAAAGGGGTATGACCTAGGGCTGGGCATTTTCGAATACCTTGTGATTTCAGAATCGAATCGAATCATTTTTTCGAATCGAATCGAATCTCGAATACTTGGAAATATATAATTGTAAGCGACTTTTTTATAGTAATTGGTCCTCTTAACAAATGAATTACTGAAGACATTGAATACATCACTCAGATAGATTACTGAGCGTTCACACACAATAAAAAAACACGTTTTATCAATAACTCACTACAGAAAAAAAGGTTGAGAACCACTGGTTTAGATAGTTAACTCGGATCTATTATCATATTGTCCCTTTTTCAATTTTTTCACGCAGTGTTAATTTTTACTTTTTAATATTCTACTTTATATATATAGCCTACGATAGTGTACTCTTCATATCATGTCCTGATGAAGTTTTTCTGCATAGAAATTCGAAACGGCAAATTAAATCGTTTCGCTATACACCGGTTGTGCTTCACTTATCTTCGACATTATGTGCTTCTTGCCAAAACAGTCATTTTGCACCTCATTTCTTGGATTAATCTCCTTAGTCATTCTGTGGGTTGGGTAGTAAGTGTATACTTACTTTGAAACACCCTGTATATTTGAACATTCTCTATTAATAAAAAAATCTGTATAAGGTGATTTTGCTCGGTGTATGGACAAGTATATCAAACATTTATGATCGGAAAAGAGAAAAAGTTGGGTTGAAATGTATTTACATAAACTTGAAAAAAAGCTTTGTCGGGACTCAGGAAACATATAGTCCTTTTTGTTGTAAAGTTGATTCATGTTAGAGTTCATCATTAGTAGTTTCTTTGCAGTAATGGGAATTTCAAGAAATTCACTTATCACCTTTCTTTCATGATGTTGTTCCCGAACAACGTCACAGAACTCGTAAATATGCTATTGACATCGTGAATACTTCGTTTCAACAACAAAAATTATTTTCTTCTTAAAAAAAAAATAATCAATTTTTCAACAATCAACACCTCAGTTGTGTACATTGCTGTAATCAGTTTCTGCCTTGTCTTTTGATTTTTCTGTTTTGAACGAGTCACTTTTTTGGTTATAGTTTCTTTAAAACTCTCAGTTTGAATCCACAAATTGTGAATAACTGTAATTTATTTACATTACCTCTGCTCTTAATACATAATGTTACGCACCTCCTTTGAATAACTTTAAATGTAGGAAGCATTCGCACACCAGAATATCGACTAAATCTGAAATATCCCACACTCCAATGACGATGTTGCGGAGAGGAAGTTCGATACTAAATAAGAGTTTATGGATTGTATTACTTTCATTAGCCTGCAGCATTTCCAGATGCAGTTTGTCTGTTGAGGTTGACGTGTCCAAGACCATTGTTTCTGGACCTGGCATAGTGGCTGATGCCACTTTGCCAGTGCGGTATGTATATATTCATCCTCACGATAGTGAAGGCGAACCAATTACGAAAGACCTTGGAGATGGAGCGTTTTCATTAACAGTCACAAATAATGGACAAAATATCACAGCGTCGAGACAAGTTTTAAACTTACACAATGGGACCTATATTGCACGTTTTCGTCTGTATGACTTCGGTGGGAACATTGAAATGTCATTAAAGTATCAGGGTGAACATGTTGCCAAATCACCGTACAAACTTGTTAATGTATATGGAGACGAGTGCTACTGTCCTATGCCTCTTAAAAAGTGGACAGAGGCACTAAAATGCCCTGCCACCTTTGATCAGGTTGAAAGAGATCTTGAAATCTTTGAAAAAATTGATCTTGACGATCTTGTGAAAAGGGGAATTCCGAAGTTTGGTTCACATCACTCTTTTTGCCATTATGTTGTTAAAGGTAACAAAATCTATAGACAATGCTATGGAAAAAACACAGATTTCAAAAGGATCATGGATGCAACTCTACTATCGTTGACTAAAAAGCTGAAGCTTCCAGATGTTGAATTTCTGATGAGTTTAGAAGACTGGCCTCTTGAAAGAGGTTCAAGGGAACAAGCTCATCCTATATTTTCATGGTGTGGTTCAGACAAAACCTTAGACATAGTACTGCCTACTTATGATATTACGCAGTCTGTATTTGAAATGCTTGGGACAGTAAGTCTTGACATATTTTCAGTTCAAGCCAACACTGGTCCAAACTGGGAGAAAAAAACAAATAAAGGATTTTTTAGAGGTCAAGATAGCAGCCAAGAACGACTTGATCTCGCAGCAATGAGTTTAGCAAATCCGGATTTTCTTGATGTTGCAATCACAAATTATTTTTTCTTCAAGCAAGATGAAGAAAAATATGGCAAAAAAGTAGAACACGTGTCGTTTTTTGAATTCTTTAAACACAAGTATCAGCTTAATGTTGATGGTACTGTTGCTGCATATCGACTTCCTTATTTGCTGGTTGGAGATGGATTGGTTTTCAAGCAGGATTCTGAGTATTACGAGCATTTCTATAAAGACTTGAAACCTTGGGTTCATTTTGTACCTCTAAAAAAAGCCTTATCAGATGTCATTGAAAAAATTAATTGGGCTCGTGAACATGATAATGAAGCTCGGAAAATACAACAAGCAGCTACAAAACTAGCAAGACAAATTTTAACTCCCGATCGAATCTTATGTTATCATGTTGTTTCTTTCAATGAGTACGCAAAACGACAGACGAGACCAGTTAAAGTTTTGAAGAAAATGGAAATGGTGAAACAGCCGCCTGACAAAAAATGTACATGTCATAGAAAGAAAGCAAAACCAAAAAAAGATGAGCTATGAAATGATTACCTTAGTTTGTTTCAAGTTCTTGTAGGTAATCTTTAATTGCTTCCAATGCTTATAGCAATTTAGTATACAACGCATGCCTATTTAATTTTTTTCATATCCAGTAGCTTGATACTTTATACATCAAACAAACTAGATAACGATCGAAGACCGCCGACTTATCGAACTTCCCCATGTTTAATATTTTACTCGACAATTTTTACGGAGTATGATCATATAGTTTACTGAATATTGTTCGCTCACGGCCGGTTCGTTACGCATGAGTGAGGCGTTAATACGTCATCAGTTTGAAATATTTTGAAGCTTACGGAAGAGGATTTCCGTTTGAAGTTATTTGCGTATTTGAAATGGTTTTGTTGGTTCAAATAACTGAAAAGATATACTGAAGCATTAGGATAAAGTAGGGGGTCGTGGCATATGCCAATCATCTCTGCGTCGGTACCATAGGGCATTGGCTACCAAGGTGGAGTAGGGGCAGAGTGTTCTGCTGTTCTGTGATTGCATTTATTGAATGGTAATTAGAGGTTTATAACAGGATTATAGCACAAAAGTAAGAATTCAGATACCCCCTGTAATATAGTGACCTCTGACCCGTGTCCGTTCATGTCTGAAGGTGACTTTAAGTTTCGTCAATGACATTAAACAACATGATAGGCAACTCTGACGTCACTCCATAAGACTACAGGCAAAACATTGTATATCATGATACGCTCCAATGCACATATTTCTCGTCGCCTTTCGCGTCCGTTTTCCGCTCGCTCTTGCTACTCGGCGTCTTTTTTACGTATAGTACCTGCCTTTTTGCGCCTGTAACGAAACAAAATAATCTCTATATCTAAGAAGTTTTGCTTACTTGGAAAGCTGGAATAACAGGCAAGCTGTAAAGAGCAATTCTGAACATCATAGACGTTTTTTTTTTTATCAGAGAAGATTACAAACGCGATAGCGGAAAGATTTGTGTGGAACATTTTGCAGATAATGACAAAGTTCAAAGTTAGTAATTTTAATGTTTGCGCTTAATCATTGAAATTTCATTTAAAGAGGGTGTCATACAAAACTGTGCTGCGATACAATTCCATAACACAAAGTTTGCACCTATCAAACTTGCTTTTGTAGGTGAATTTATTAGACATATTACATATATAGTTAATCGTAGGTAACATTGCTGGTACATAATGCATCGTAGATAGGTTTGTTTAAATTTAGGAATTTAGCTCATAGCCCACTAATTAATATTATCTTCTATGCAGGAGGTTGCAGGGCTGAATTCAACTTGCAGCCTTACCGATCACCTGACGATGCTCATTTAGTTTGGCTCGAGCAAGTCTTCTTGAAATGCTTGTGTGGATGGAAACTACCTATATTTTTTGCCTTCCTCCGATTTTGGACAAATTTATTCTGAGGGATTTCGCATATAATTCTCACTGATTGTTGGCTGTTTATAATTCCTATTGATTGTGAATTCTGATTATAACAATGAGTTGAAAATTTTTTTACCTAATTTACTGGCACCTTTTTCTTGTCAATACTCCAAACTGAGGTAATAAACATGACAATACATTTATGTCATCTGGAAGCAAAATATGCACACTAATTAATAGTTTGGCACATTGAGATAATACATCATGACAGAAAATACAAGTTAAAGATATGTATGACCAACACATGGTAATTAAAATTAAAAAAAATTAATACTGGAAGTTCTCTGGGGCCGCGAGTTTGAGATCCCTGGTCTAGATTGAAGTTGTTCAAAAAATATATGATAGTATTTTATCATGAATGATGATTATACCCCTTCCGGAATTTCTTCTATAGTACTACCAAAAGTTGATGAACCAAATATAACACAGGTGCAGTGAGGTACCCGTAATCCTCATTTCCAAAGCTGTTTTAAGTATGTCTGGCGTGTTTTGTGCCTTTTTACAAATAAGACCGCTTATGCAATCTTACGCTTTGGAATTTTTAGTTATTTTCCCCAAGCCCTGCAGGATGTGGGGGTCATACACAACTCTACCGGAGGGTCAAATGTCTTTGCATGCCTCCATAGGTTGTTTTTCTATTGCAATTTTCTATTTTCAAATGCATTATATTTCTTGGAATCACACTGTCACTGATATGTCGCCAGACTTCTGATATCTCCCCGTCTGCTATAGTTGTCCTGTGAATAAATAATAGGAAATTGAGATTAGACGAATAGTTGAAAGTTTTGCTTTATGTCGGCTTAATTTCTTGATTGATATACTTACTATTTCTGCTATTGCCTCTTGTGCTGCAAGAGTCTCACAATGCTTAGACAGGTTTGTCCACAACTTTCACATCTGAAGAAAGAGAGGAGATTTATTAATTTTCGTTAAGAATAAATAAAGCAGTCTATATGATTCAGAATGGAAAAGCTACTAAATCCAATATCTCATGTTTTATTTAAAAAATATTTTACTGAATTTGGTATATAAACCAACTAATAAAAGGCTTTATAGTCAGAAAATTACAAGCATTCGTGGCTCCAAATACTTGAGAAATCAGACTATACAATATAGACCTGTATGAGTGAAATGGTAGGTGAACTTGTTAACACTTTGATTCAATACGCAAATAAAAGTGAATGCGTAATAGTATGTTACAATGAGCAGCAATCAACAATGAGTATATATCCTCACTGGTTAAAAAAATCTAACTGGAGGTGCATGAACTATTTGAAACCATAAGGGGTAAGTAAATATGTAATTTCGGCAAATGGGCAACTACGTACCGTACTGAATTAATAACTTCGTAGTATTTGACAAAGGCTGGCTTTCGCACATGTACTTAACAGTGCGATGCCCGGGTGTGATATACAACAATAGTATTCACCTTACCTTTTACCGATTTCTTTTTACCCCAACTTTCAAAAATATCATAAAATCGACAACAACTGTCAAAGCAGGCACGAACACCATTCGTGCTACGCCTTGAAAGCAGCACACATCCGCTCGTTTTCGTCTCGTCAAGTATGTGCATTGGAGCGTGCTGTCGAATACGATCTTCGGACAAAAATGCCGGAGTTGCGCATCATGTTGTTTAATGTCATTGGTTTCGTGTACTTATATACATTAGCTGTTATGAGTTGTTACTGTGTGCATTAACTGTTAAGTTTATCTATCTGGAATGTGTTCTGTTTCGAATGTGAATAAAGTCTGCAATAGCGATATAGTTGTGCGTGCTTACACACCACCTTACACTCCGAAGTAAGAAAGGGCGATATAGATTATAGAATACCGAATCCAGAGGATATGAATCCCTAGGACTCGGTTTCCGCCTCTTCGGCGTCGTGCGTCCATTTTTGTATTTCGGATTTACAATTTATTTAATCAGAGACGAGCGTTATTCTCTGGCGACGAAATTTGTCTCGCGCGATTATACGAGTTGCGAGTTTTCTCGCAAAAAGCCCGCAAACGCGTTTGCGGCAGATATGAAACACCGTAATCCCAGCTTGAATATTCAGAACGCGAAGACGGCGTTATAGCACTCTTTTATTTATTATCATTGGTGCAGATCTTACAGGCGATTTTTCGATTGACACAATCTTAATTTTTTGTAATAGTGAAACATTCTTTGTTTTATACTAAATGACTTTTCGAGTTCTCCCGGAAAATGATGAGTACCTGACGTTAGATGATAAAACATTATTTGCGATTAATTTAGATCAAATTTTACATTTCACAACGCCAGCTTCTGAAAATACGAAGTTATAACGCAAAACAATGCGCTTTGTCACATTTATTTTGCAATACATATATCTTGGATTTCGAGTCGCTGATGAATCCGTTCCTTTCGCCCAAGCGCGACACACGCCTGGTCGAGTGACGGATAGTATTTTAGTCGACGATAAATTAAAAAAGTTGCGATGATAACTGGAAATTAAAATTTAACAACAGATATGAATTTGTCTCAAGATGTTATTTTATGAGTTTTGCTCACAGAAGCAATCGTTTTCTGTCAAAGGCACAAGACATTCAAACAATATATAACGATGTCATATCAGTCCGATAACCTACATCCTGTTTAGATTAGACCATTGATGACTTAACAATGGATAGAAAACTCACTGTTGTCGCCACAGACGTGCCACGCTTGAATAACCTGTAAAATCATATTCTGGGGCGCTTATACAATGCTTTTCTTATGGCGGAGCCGCGTGAAATTAAAGCCTGAAATCTCGTAAAATGGGGTAATATATGGGGAAATTCAATGGTAAATATGTTTATACGGCTGTTTTCATATACACTGTTGAAATAAAAATTATATGATATATTCGGACAAAATTATATTTGGCCACAAGTGCGAACCTGTAGATGACATCGTATATTAAATCCAAAGTGGGATATGCGACCAGAGGGTTGTTTCTGGTCATCTTTTGAGGATTGTGGAAATGTCTGAATGGCGTGCGATTGCATTTTGGTATATTAGTCGATCTCATTCAGTGTGATCCGTAACGTTGGACTCCGAGCACCTTCACGTCGTTATTTATTCTCCTTTACTATGCCTGCGATATATCTTTTAGGGCAGGGGTGTGCAACCTTCATTGACAGGAGGCCAGATACAAGTTACTGGATTAAAGCCGCGGGCCGCACCTAGAAACTCTACCTATGAAAGGTTCTGGATACAAAATATCAACTTACGAAAATTCTTCTCGTAATATTGCTTCGGCTAACATAATATTTTCTACATACAAAAGATCGAAAACCTTTAAAACGCGTGTGATGATATTTTTTAATGTTTTGTTTAAAACATTGCAGCCCTGTGAGACGCGGCAAAAAATTATCTGGCACGTTTGTTTCCCGCGGGTTTATACAACGTGTTGCTAGCGAGATTCAGTGAGAAGACGATGATGCGATAAAAAATAAATATAAAATTTTGAATTTCATGTATATATATGTGCTCACATGCTTTTAATTCTAATCGAACTCAATGAGACACGCGTTTTTATAACATTGTGCATTTCGTAACAGGATTTT